TAACTCTATTTGCAGCCTGTTCATCTGTTTGGCTCCCTTATCGCGTCTGTATTTACACAGACAGATAGGCAGCGGTGTCTGTATAGGGCCTTCAGACCGTCACTTGTGGGATGGGCTAAATTCGTTCTGCTTTTTTTAGCAACAGTTTGGCGAAGGAAGGGAAACTGATGGTATCATACCTGTCTGCGTCATTATGTCTTCATCCCAGTAATAAATATTAAATCGCGTGACCAGTTTTCATTAAACTCTGTATTATGTTCATGTCACTCAGAGCAATACAGTGTTACAGGTCTACCTTCTGAATGCCCAACAATCAATAACGTAATTTGTAAAATGCTGTCGACAACTAAGGGACAGACGCGCGCGCGCAGACAGGAATTTTTATGGGATGGGGGATCCAGAATGAAAATTTCCTTACAAACTTCCTTTCAAATCGTGTGAGAACAATTTAATTCATCGAGCCAGAGTATCCATGATAAAATAATCTCTCTTTAAAAATACATTCTTAGTATTAATATTTGTTATTTTTCCTCTCTAAGTACTGGGTCTTGAACGGGGTCCACTCAGCCTCGTGAGGGTAATGGACGAGTTATTTCAAAGAAATAGCGGCTCCGGTCTACAAAACCGAAATTAACGGCCGTGGGGACCACTCTACACCCTCTATCCGCTGAAGTTGGCTTGCGGGATACAGGCCACGGAGTATTTTCCCTCTTCTTTTCAATATTTGTAAACCCAGGAGGAGGGGGCATATTCCTGACTTCCTCCTATTTGTCTGCCGGCGCCCATGGATGAACTCGCCCAGTTCAATATCCGGTAGGGACAGGGATTCTCCTCTTTAAAATTACACCAACCCAAGTTCTTTCGACGGGTGCAGAGAATTGCTTCAGGGGCAAAACTATCTGAGCGTGAGGCTGACCACTCTTCCAACCAGTGCTGACGTTAACGCCGTTTTCAGTATTCCTTTCCTCCGTGGCCTTTAGTCCACAAGCGAACTATACCGACCGAGCGACCGCCGCTTGTCGGCGAAGTTAGTGCCAACTTTAGCGGATAGAGGGTGTCGCGTGGTCAGCGCAACGAATCCCCACGGCCGTTAATCTCGGTTTTCTAGACCGGAACTGTTTTTTTAATCAGTACAGGATAACATACTCGGGTAACTCAGTCAATATATTAACTAGGCTGTGAGTTTGATGACAGGGGTTTGATTCCTGACGGGGGCAAAGGACTTGCTCGTCACGACCAAGTCCAGACCTGCTCTGGAATCTACCCAGTTTCCTATCGAATGTACTTCTCATCTGTAACCAGTGCGGAGGTTAAGAATGCTTGGAGCTACACCTCCGTTCCCCCATTCGTCTTCACAGCGTAACGCTTTATTAAAAACGGATACATTCGTGAGTAGCTGAGTGAGTGGTGGCTTCCCAAGACGGGCTCCCCTCCATGCAAGTTATAGCTCAAGCGGTTAGTCGCTGGCTTTCCATCGCGGCGGCCCGGGTTCGACCCCGGGTCTGGTCAAGTGGGATTTGTGGTGGACAAAGTGGCACTGGCATGTTTCCCCTGCCAATCTTCATTCCACCAATTGCTCCACAATCACCCTCACCTATCATCTGGGGCTGGTACAATAGGCCAGAAGTGGCCGCAGTACAAGGGACTTAGTCCCACCCCACTAGCAATAAAAAAAAACAGATGGGCCGTGCCATAGCTCAAGAGGTTAATCGCCGGCTTCCCACCGCGGAGGCCCAAGTTCGAGCCCATGTCAGGTCACGTTGGATTTGTGGTGGTCAAAGTGGCGCTAGGGCAGGTTTCCTCCAAGTACTTCGGTTTCCCGTACCAATTCTCATTCCACCGACTGCTCCACACTCATCATCAATCACCCGGGGCTAGTACAATAGGCCAGTTAGTGGCCGACGTACTAAGTGGACTCAGTCTCACCTCACCCCAAGAAACTAAAGAAAAAGATAACTTTGCGCATACAAGAGACCATAAGATGTTTTCCGAATTTATCCGTGACATTTTATGACGTGTTTAACTCTTCGCCAAGTATAATTAGAATGATCAAGTTAAGGAGGTTGAGTTTGGCAGGGCATGTAGCACGCGTGGGGAGAAGCACAACAGATAAGATATTGGTGGGAAAGCCAGAAGGAAAGATATATGTAGGAAGACTTAGGAGTAGATAGGAGGGTAGTAGGAAGGGGTGTTATAGACTAGATTAATCTGACGTAGGGTAGGGAAAATTGGATGCTCTTGTGAATACAGTAATGGACTTCCGGGTTGCATAAAATGTTGGGAAATTCTTGAGTTAGTCAGTTTAGTTAGTTTTTCCCCATACAATAGATGACAGGAAATGCTTTCCGAGGTCATTCTTTGGCATTTTATAACCTGTTTAAGTGGCTAACGAAATAAGCTGGTATATAGTCCTGCTCGGGGCATATCCACTGTGCTAGGATTATTAATAAGGGAATGGCAGAACCGACGGGCGGTTTCGTTTCCTTGGAGCTGCGCCCCCCCCCCCCTCCACGTGCAGCCATCGCACGGGAAATTGACTGACAAGCAAGAAACAGCATGAGATCAAATTACTTTGCTTCATGCAGTAAACATCAGGTCACAAGCAAGCTCTTAACATAACACGATAACAGAACAAGTACTTCGGTCGCTAGAGTGACCAGGCTACGTGCACGGGCTTCGGAGAATCTGGGCTCGAGCCCCGGCATGGGGCAGAGTTCTTTCTCTGGCCACCGCGTCCTTACCGTCGGCCCCAGCCTCCTTTTCTTTGACTATCGGAAATTTCCCCTTTCTCGCCGAGGGTAGAGAGGTCGGAGCGTGAAACTGACCGTTCACTTGCATGTAGTGCCGAAAGTTAAGAAAAATGACGCAATACCTCAACTCCAACGTACTGTAGCAGAAAGAGGTAGCTTTATTTTCGGGCCCTTAACAATAATGTGAAGATGAAAAACTCCGTGGCTTTACTCCGCAAGCGAACTATACCGACCGAGCGGCCGCCGCTTGTCGGCGAAGTTAGTGCCAACTTTAGCGGATAGAGGGTGTCTCGTGATCAGCGCAACGAATCTCCACGGCCTTTAATTTCGGTTTTCTAGACCGGAGCCGCTACTTTTCCATTCAAGTAGCTCTTCAGTTATCCTCACGGTAGCGCCGGGAATCGAGCCCGGGGCCTCTGGATCTGTAACCACGAACTCTGACCACTAGACCACAGAGTTCTAAATGCTAATTCTAAAGATGTTTGTGAAAATATCTACAATTATATTAAGGTAAAATTGTCTCTGTGCTTAAGCACTACGCCATGAAGACGTATGGGGGAATGGATGTACAGATCCATGTATTCTTTGCGGTAATTGGTTAGCTTCTTTCCCCAACCGCTTTATCCCCCGGTGGCTATTGAATAGGAGGGTGGGGGGTCCCCAGAGCCGGTCTGGACGCCGTTCTCCCATACCGACTTATCCAGGCACCCGTGTCGAGTTTAATAGGTCATGACAAAGGCTGCATAAAAATAATCTGTTTTCAAAACATATCGGAAAAGAAAGCAGCTGTCGTGTCTGCAAGAAAGGCAAAACGAAGATCTCAGCTGTGACGGATGAGCTGGACTTGTAATTAGTAGCCAGCAACTGCAGAGAGGCTGGCATTGGCGGAGCGCGCCTCAAGGTCAAGGTCTTCCATGAGAGATAAGGCGCTTCATGAGCGTCGGACTGATATACCGAACAGAGCACGTTTCGGAAAGTGGCTCAGCAGCCGTCCTCAGGTCAAAAGGCGGGGAGACACCTACTCTGTTGAATCCGTTACAGCAGTGTCTTCCAAAATAGAAACCCCGTTGTTCAGCGAAGTGAGCATAAGAATTCTGCAAGAAAGATCTGTTAAACTGGAAAACTCCGTGGTTTTAGTCCGCAAGCGAACTATACCGACCGAGCGACCGCCGCTTGTCCGCAAAGTTAGTGTAAACTCTTGCGGATAGAGGGTGTCACGCGGTCAGCGCAACGGATGCCCACGGCAGTTAATCTCGGTTTTCTAGACCGGAGCCGCTATTTCCTTGAAGCAGCTCATCAGTTAACCTCACAATGCTGAGTGGGCCCGTTTCAGACCCACTACTTCTCAGAAAATCTTGTAGCGCCGGGAATCGAACCCGGGACCTGTGACCACTAGACTACAGAGGCTGTCAGCAAGAAAATTATGTTATAATATAAAAACGACAACTTAATTAATATAAACTTCACTTGGAACGATTTTCGTTTTCAAGCTTCTTTATATTATAAATGTCACGTTGAAATGAAGAAATTAATAAACTAAACTGTCTTCTTGCCTCAGAGGAGGAAGTTCCATGAAGACGTGCAGTTCTTCAGTTGATAGCGTTCGCCAGCACACACACTTGTGCGAAACTGGATTCTCTAATTACGCAACAACAACAACAACAACAACAACAACAACAACAAAATACCGAAACAGGCCAAATGTGACACCAGATTTGATAATTCAACTTTCCAATATGTTAAAAAAAAAGAGGTAAAATTGTAAGATGCCGTGGAGACGCATAGGTCTGTGAGACGTCGAGGCTCCCACATTTTCTATACAATCGGCTCACAGATAGCGATAAGGTTGTCAGCCTTACGTGCCGGCCGCTCTTTACCCCCCAGGAAGATTCCTGGTATTCATTTCTATTAAAAGCTGAGTGGACCCCGGGGCCACAGTGCGGCTGGAAAGAATTGAAAATCCCATTGGCCTCGTCGGGAGCCGAACCCACGATCTTCCGGCTTGTAGCACAGTGTCTCAACCTACTACACTACCGCGTGCCCACACATTTGCCTAATATCTACATTAATGTTATCTTCCTACCAACACCTCATTTTCGCCATGTGTACTCTATATCTGGCGTCACTAATCATCTGGTTTAATCATATTAAGTGTGTCAGTTGGAAGCTCTGCAGAATTATATACTTTTTTTGTTGTTGTTAATTTAACAGAAAGGGAATGTAAGTGGTTTGTTTATTCCTTCGTTACAGATGCGGCAATTATGTTCTGCGGCGGTCTTCCTACAGATGGCAGTACTTGTGGTCGGCACGCATACTAACAACGCTACAGAACAGCCTGCACCGCCTTTCAAGTGTTTCCACCAACCACTCTCAGCTTGCAACGCGGATGGATGCAAATATTTAAATGATTTACAAGATACTGCCGTGTGCTGCCATCTCAAGCAGTTTGAATTCAAAGAGAGAATAGCGAGTAAGTGCAGTCTCACTTCTATCAGACACACAATCAACCGAAACAACAATGCAATACAGTGTGTGGCACGCCTGACTCACAGTCGAAATTCGACCCTGAGTTCGGATAAGTCTTATCATACGTTTCTTTAGCTACTCCAGGAACATCGTGAGGTAACTAACTCCATGGAGTACAGACCGCGGTAGTGTAGTTGGTTCTCGGCACTATGCTGCACGCCGGAAGGTCGCGAATTCGATTCCCCACGAGGTCATTGGATTTTTCAGTTGACTTAATCCTTCCAGCTGCACTATGGCCCTGACGTCGATTCACCAGGAATCTTCCTAGGGGGTAAAGGGTGTCCGGCGCGTAAGGCTGACAACCTCTCCGCCATCTTTGATCCGATTGTCTAGGGAAAAATGTGAGAACCTCGACGTCTCACAACCCTGTGGGTCTTCACGGCCTGTTACAGGGATACCTTTATCTTACAGTCGTTCAGCGGTTTTACTTATATCCCATCGTTTATGGTTCGAAGGTTCTTCATTACCGTGACGACGAGAATCCGTCTCTGGTCTGTACCGTCTGTTCGCGACTGCCCTAATATTCTCCTCCGATCTATACTCAGGTCCCAGTGGTTCAGGTTTTCTTATGAATATGGTGTACACATTTCTCACTCTCCCATGCGTGCCACAGGTCCCGCCTATCGTATCCTGATTGACTTCATTACGTAATGTTTTATAAGGAATGCAGTTATGCAGTTGCATTCTCCTTCCAACTACATTTCTGTGATGTTCAGATGTTCTCATCAGCGCAATGTTCCATATGTTCCGCCCTTAGGGCTAATTAACTGAACTAAATCCGTAGCTTTAGTCCGCAGGCGAACTATATCTACCGAGCGACCGCCGCTTGTCCGCGAAGTTAGTGCCAACTTTTGCTGGTAGAGGGTGTCGCTTGGTTAGCGCAACGGATCTCCACGGCCGTTAATCTCGATTTTCTATACTGGAACCGCTACTTTTCTATTCAAGTAGCTCCTCAGTTATCCTCACGAGGCTGGGTGAACCCCGTTCCAGACCCACTACTTCTCAGAAAATCTGGTAGTGCCGGGAATACAATCCGGGACCTCTGGATCTGTAGCTAGGAATTCTGACCACTAGACCATAGAGGCGGTCTCTACCCTTAGGACAACAGACAAAATTTGATACCCACGTTCTGTAGTAATGCACTGTTGACTTCTGTGTGTGCACTCTCTGGTTCTCTTTAATGGTATTGTCAGTTCAGGCTAGCTGCTGAATTATTAGTGTAATTCCAGCCCGCTAGCCAGGGTTATTCCTCTCTCATCCGACATTCTTCTTGTCTCGGGAAAAGTGTTGACATTTGTAAACATTCCTGAGGATATTCTGAAATGTGTATTGACTCAGCTGCCAAGTTTCATGACCGCGGAAAGAGACGAGACCGTTGCATCACGTGAAAATCGATCCTTATATCCTTCTCTACTGTCACTTATGAAGGGTTAGCGTGACTGATAACAGTGGGTTTTAGATTTGATGATTGGGTTTACTGAATGCTTCTTCACAATTACAATCAATCATAGCGCTATCACTGATCTTCGCAATTCACTAGGACATGCTCCATTCTCGTTCTTGTGCTCTCAACAACTCACATCCAGAGTCAAAGTCATATTGCGACTGACAGTCAGTCAGTCAGCCAGGAATCTTTTGTATATGCTGCTGGCCCTTGCCAGCGCAGTCTTTCTCGAGTCCGAGTCCCTTGGGACTTGTGACCATATTTTACTGTCTCAGATTTGAGACTTCTCTTTTCGTCCTAACTCATACCCGAAGTCGAAGTTGAAGTCACATTGCGACTGACGGTCGGTCAGTCAGTCAGTAAGTCTTGGTGTCAAGCCCCAGCTGGGGCCAATGACCAGATATATATTACTGTTTGACATTTACGGTCTTGCTTTTGTGGGGCGCCCTCTCTGACGAGAGGACGGGTCTGTCTTCTATATATGCTGCTGGCCCTTGCCAGCGCAGTCATTCTCAGGTCCGAGTCCCGTGAGAGTGGGAAGTTTGCTTGAGTCAGTATTACAGTGTCCATCTATGCCGAAAAAGATCTTCTGTAGATGGAAGGTCCACTCTGTAAGGTAAAGTTAAGCACTACCCCATGAAGGCGTAGGGGGGGAGCGAATCAATATTTTCTTGATCTCGGCCCTAGCTGGAGGTGAGTGGCCAGCTTCACGCCCCTGCCGCTTTACACCCGGGGAAAGAGTACCCATTCGATAGGAGGTTGGATGGACCCCAGAGCCGGTCTGGACGACGTGGAGAACAGAAAATTAATTAATTTAAATTAACAATTAATTGTTCAAGTCGTGATATTAACTGTTAGCAACCGAAACACGTTATATGCAAAAAAAACTCCGTGGCTTTAGTCTGCAAGCGAATTGTACCGACCGAGCGACCGCGGCTTGCCGGCGAAGTTAGAGCCAACTTTTAGCAGATAGAGAGCGTCGCGTGGTCAGCGCAACGAATCCCCACGGCCGTTAATTTCGGTTTTCTAGACCGGAGCCGCTAATTTTCCATTCAGGTAGCTCCTCAATTATCCTCACGAGGCTGAGTGGACCCCGTTCCAGACCCACTACTTCTCAGAAAATCTGGTAGAGTGCCTCTGGATCTGTAGCCAGGAACTCTGACCAATAGACCACAGAGGCGGTCCCGTAACAACGCGAATAAAAACGTTTAACAGTTACGTCACCGATGGCCGTTTTCGTCACAGTCGTTTCATGTTATTGTGACGGAGTGTTACAATTTTAATGTGTGCTTTAAGTAAGGGGTGGCTGGATTTCTCGTTTCCTGGGGGGGCATTTGTGTTTACACCGGTCCTGCTCCACTCCCATGTGCATTACGTATACAGCTGGTGCGAAAAGAGCAGGGATACCTCAGTCGGCATATCGACTAGGCTGCCGACTAGACGACCGAGAAATCGGTGTTCGATTGCCGGCAGGGAGAAAGAGATTTTTCTCTTTTGCATAACGTCCAGACCGGCTTTCGGGGCCAACTGAGTGGGTTTTTGCAGTTAAAAGTGGCCGGGGCGTGAAACTTACCACTCACCACCATCTAATTATGGAGCTATTCCACCATTCCGTCATGCATCTTTGTCATGTAATGTTAAGTACAAGGGCAGCGGTTGGTATGAATGGCAATGGCAACGGCAACGATCTCTGTTACCGGCTGAATACGGATCGGCCACCGTTCGTAGATCATAGTTTGATACTTCGTCGTCAGATGGTGCCACCTAGTAGTGAGAGCTGAAATTATACAGAAGAGTGCTGGCACACAGCGACTGACGAAGCTATTAGATACAAGTTCGGATGGTCAGTGAACCAGGATAGCTCAGTCACCATAGTGACTAAGCCACGGACATGGGGCCGCGCCATAGATCAAGCGGTTAGTCCCCGGCTTCACATCGCGGCGGCCTGGGTTCGATCCCGGGTCTGGTCAAGTGGGATTTGTGGTGGACAGAGTGGCGCTGGGGCAGGTTTTCTCCGAGTACTTCGGTTTCCCCTGCCAATCTTTATTCCACCAATTGCTCCACAATCACCCTCACCTACCATCTGGAGCTGGTACAATAGGCCAGAAGTGGCCATAGTTAAAAATCCACGGACATGACAAAAGAAGAATCTGGGTTCCATTCCCGCCAGGGGCAAGATATTTATAGTTTTCCCCAGCGTCTAAAACGGCACTGGTAACCACTCAGTCGTGGGTACTGGCATTCATTCCCAGGGGATAAAACAGTCGGGGCACAAAGCTCGTATCTCCTTCTAATGCCAGAGTTAAGAATACATGGAGCTATGCCTGTGCTACTCCAAACGTCTTTATGGCGTGGTGCTTAATGAAGCAGAGGCACCTGTATGTTTCCTGTCCTGTTCTCTACACCACTCAGCTTTTCATTCATTCATTTACATTCCAAGGATCCTTACATGGCTGGAAGACCAGTGGATTTAGAAATAGTCAAAGATTCTGAGTTGTATTTGTTTTGTCGTAGTTATGACCTTGGCCTCTGTAATTAATTATCTGAAATACAAGATCCTAAGCCCTGTATTTTTTTCCCCCTTGGCACTACAGCCCCAGTGGGCCTAGGCCTACCTCCATGAACTCCGTTCACTTCGGTTTTTCTAGATCTTACACATGCAGTAGGACTCCTTGGGCGAGTGATCAGCTCATCGCAAGGCCTCTACCTGTACACAAACACAGAAAAACGCACACACACAAACTAAACATCCATGCCCTAAGTGGGATTCGAACCCACGATCCCGGTTTCCAAGCGAGCGAAGACAGTACATGCCTTAGACCGCTGGGCTACCGTGACCGGCTAAGCCCTGTATTAGTATTTGCAATTTTATGTTGACCTTCAGTATCAAGTTCTAAACTAGAACCTCAGCAACTGATAAATTGTTGAGATGGTTTAACTGATGATAGTGAGATGCCTAGTACATACATTCATAAACATTTCGGTTGTAGTCATCAATTTTTTTATGATGGTGTCTGTAACTCAGACAACATTTCTTCAAATGACTGCAGCGCACTGAATTAAATAATTACAAAGGATATGGAAGGAATCCTCTGTGTCCTAATTTAATGTACTGTCTGTGCTATTGTCCTGGATGATTCAATAATTCAAGTGTGGAGCACACTGCACTATTTTCTGTTGTGAATACAAATCAATGATACATATTGAGACAGTGGACTTCTGGGTTGTAACATCATGTAGTCTTATGGGAGGACACCAGAATTTCGGGGATGCGTGCAACCTCCTTGTTTAGAATCACAGAGCCTAGCAACACCTAAACACACTCACAACCCAGAAGACTGCAGTCTGTATAACAACCTCTGTGAAAGCCCCAAAACTTATGTCACTATTTGTCTTCTTCTGCTGTTATTTGCAGTACTACAGCAGAACAAGAATCTAACAAGACTGCATATCATGGGTGTCACAGTGGATGAGCTAAACATGAACCTGTTCTGGTTGTCAAACCTGGAGTCTCTGGCATTCACTGATGGACGGGTAACGAGAGTCACGCGGCTGAACCACACCAACTTCACGAACCTCACAAACCTCAAGTGTCTCAATCTGTCTAGCAACCACATCATAGAAGTTGACAGTGGCATTGCACGGGAACTCCCAAGCCTCATACAGCTAGACCTATCAAACAATAACATGACAAACTTCTCATTTGAGCTTACAGAAAACAGTAGCAACAGTTCTGACTCACACTTTTGGCTCGACATATCGAGTAAGTACACTTTGTGATGAAGCAGAATGATAAACTTAGTACTGGGGTTCCCAAACTAAAACATTCTATGAACCCTGTCCTTGAAAAATCAGAAAACAAAAATCATATTATTACCTGAATGTAAAGTTTTATAACCAGAGTGTTAATATCTGCCTCCCACGCAAAACTGTCACATGCTCTATTTTTTAATTGAGAATGTGGTAACCTAAACCTTATGTTCTAATGTTATCTTACATCATGTAATGCTTAAAACTCATTCTTCACATACTGTTATGTATTATTCAGCATGTGCCTAGTTTTCTAAAATGTTGTTTTTCAGTTTCTGCTAATAATATTATATTTTCCATGTTTTATTTGCAGATAACACGCACCTTTGGTGTTCCAACATAACACAGCTCAAGTCTGGTGTGCGTGATACATGGAACCTTCACATAATGAACCTCAATCGAACTATGTGCATGGTCCAGAGAGATGAGTACTGGTTCAAATTTCAGGAGACGATTCTCTTTAAGCATATTGGAGAAGTTGAACAGGTAAAAACGTTATTAGAATTTATCAGTTCCAGTTACAACATACTGAACAATTTGGTCAGCCCTTTGTATTTCTGTGGCATTATGTGTTCCGAACAGATAGGCATAGTGGCAGTGCTGTAAGACTTATCTTCCTGAGACACCTGGTTTGAAACCTGGGTGGATACCTATCGCTGTGAATTAGGTTTTTATGGTTTTCCTAAGTTCAGTACAAAATGTACCACACTCATTGCACAGCCCTTTCTATTATTTCTATTTATTTCATGTTTTGTATTTTTATTTTTATATAATTTTATTTCTATTTTATCTCTTCTCTCTTATCCATGTTCCTCTCTTCTACGCTTCTTTATTCCTTCCCTTGATACCTGTCTTCCACACAAAGTAACTCAAGTGTGACCCTAATTCCCTGATTCCTGTACATTCAATCATAACATCAGTCCTGCCCCCATATCCATACTACTCTTTTGCACACTTCACTTACTCATCTGCCCGGAATACAGAGATAGCAGGATCTTCAGGAACAGTGGTACCTAGCTACCAAAGAATGTGACATCGCACTCCACAAGGCAGTAACTGTCATTGTCACCATTTTGAGAACTTCAAATTGCACATAGGGTTTCATGGTTTTGAGAAGTCTCAAATTTGTGGATAATCAGTGAACCTGTTATGCTTGTATATCTTTGTGTTAAATAATGTATGCTAAATAGAGCAAGTGCTGGTCACGGTAGCCGAGCGGTCTAAGGCATGCACTGTCTCGCTCGCTCGGAAGCTGGGATCATGGGTTCAAATCCCACTCAGGGCATGGATGTTTGTGTGCGTTTCTCTGTGTTTGTGTACAGGTAGAGGCCTTGCGACGAGCTGATCACCCGCCCAAGGAGTCCTACCGAATGTGTAAGATCTAGAGAAACCGAAGTGAACGGTGAAGTTCATGGAGGTAGGCCTAGGCCCACTGGGGCTGTAGTGCCAAGGAAAAAAAAATAGAGCAAGTACTTCACTTTGGCTAGTAAGTGTGTGCACCTATAATACGGTTCCTTACTTTTTTAGATATGCTCGTACATTTGATTTAATTGTAAGACTAATACAGAATTCTGTGTTCTGGAGATTTCAGTGTTATGAAATAAATAAAACAAAGACATCCATCTCAACTGGCTTGCTGTAGGCAGTGCAAGGGATATTAGGTTTATGTTGCTAAAATGAAATTCTTATCGGTTTGGAATCATATGTTGAAGACAGTGACTATTATGTACTAGGTGATGGACCAAGTACAACTACTGCTGAATCTGTAAAAATGTGAGAAAATTTCAAGTTTTATAATCTGAAAGGTTACAGGAAACTTTCAAAATCAGAAATTAATTTAAGATTTTATTTTGTTGAAGTCAGAACTTTCATCCAGCTGTTTCTCTCTTAATTTATGAGCGATATACATAACTGCTTTCTGTGTTTACAGGTGGAAGAAGACTGCAAGAAGACTAATACTCCATGTACATGTTTACCATACCGCTATTTGTACACATCTGTGTATCAGAACCGTGACTCTCTGACTATCAGCGTCAACTGTTCAGGGAAAAACCTTACATCCCTTCCCGATATCCCACCCCACACCATTGTTCTCAACATCACCAACAACAAAGTGAGTATATGTCAGCAAATACTTGATTACAATAGACATCCTGATTAATGTACAGGTGGTTGAATGATGATGTATCATGTACTCTTATTTGTTTCTTGGTTTACTTTACCCATACACAGTACAAGTCAGACTTAATCTACATATTTAGAGGCTTTCAAGGTTATAACAAGGCCATATGGCTCTCACTGAATGAACCATCAACAAAAACACAGAACTCCCGTGGTTTTAGTCTGCAGGCGAACTATACTGACAGAGCGACTACTGCTTGTCGGTGAAGTTAGTGCCAACTTTAGCAGATAGAGGGTGTCATGTGGTCAGCGCAACAAATCCCCACGGCCATTAATTTCGGTTTTCTAGACCGGAGCCGCTATTTCCTTGACACAGCTCCTCAGTTATCCTCATGAGGCTGAGCGAACCCCATTCCAGACCCAGTACTTCTCAGAAAATCTGGTAGCATCAGGAATCGAACCCAGACCTGTGGATCTGTAGCCAGGAATTCTGATCGCTAGACCACACCAGACCCACCAAATCACTTTTATTGTTTCTCTGTTCAGTTATATGTACACTGAAGAAGAAACCTTAATCACATTCCTAAATTTTGAGAATGCTACATCAGCCTTCTCAGAGCCTCTAACCCACAGCTTGCCATTGCAGCTTATAAAAATAAACCTGTCCTTTGAAGGGTTGAAACTGAACAATGTACAATGTGGAAGGAGACATTCATGATAAATGAATGCACCATTAAAGATCAATTAGACTGACAGAGGACATACTATCACGGCATTTCTGGTAGAAAATGAGGAAACCCATGAAGAACCTCAGAACATCTGAAATTCAGAATGGGAACTTCATGAATATAAAGCAATGCTTGGTGTGTACCAGTTACAGAGCATATGCATTGCCACGTACAATTAGAAGATGACTTAGTCTGGGCTATAAGACCGGTCTTCCTGACTGAGTATTCTGAACTTCTACCTCAATCCCTCCAGGCATATTGCCTCAAATTGGGCCACCACCGTTCAGCCTGTATCTTTTCTAATTCATTATTCATTAATCATCCAGTCATCGGATGCTGTATAGTCCGAGCTATTGAAAATGTTGCTAAATGAACAAAGTAAAAATAAAAAACATATATTAAAGATAAAAAATGTTGTTCTAGAATATGTGGATCCAAAACGAATAAGTTTGAAGGCAGTGTGATACATACAAAATTACAAATATTGCATTTGTAAAATATGTATAGCTAAATTTGAAATACATATTTGCCCTCTTTGTTATATCATGTTCAGTTTACCATACTGGAATGGTTTTCCATTTTTATGTTTTTAATACTTTGAAAGCCAAATGTGTCCAGTAGTCTGCCTGGGACACATATTCTTAGATAAATAAAATATTTCAGATGTAACTTTCTTGAAGATGACTGTAAAAATATTTATATTCTTCACATGTTTCAGATTACGAACCTGAAGCGAATCAGAACTGATCCGAACTACCAAGAACTTCGAGAACTACATGCAGAAAATAACCAGATCGTGTCACTGCATGAAATTGAAGCCTCTAATTTTATTAAGAACTTTCAGGTCCTTGATATTAGAGCAAACAAGTTGACTGAGGTGAGATTCAAGTTCTGTCAAGTTCTTATATTGCACTGTTATGATAATTACACAGTTCTTGATTGTGTTTGGCAGACTACTTCCCTTATTTTATGAAAGAAAAATAGTGTTATGATACTGTCATCTTGATGTGTTTGCCTTTCCCCAGCCCTGATGACTTTTCAACCATTTGGCAGATTTTCACAAAACATAAAATGGACAATAAGCTATTGATGTCATCAGTGGGATTGTTCATAATTAGTGTAACAAGGAAGAGCTGTGCAGCCAGAGAAACAGACATTGCTAGTGAACGGCTCTGAAACAACATTCGTTTCTAGGCAATGGTGCGAAACAGACAACAGAACGACATCCGTTCCTAGCCATCTGATCCTTAATAAGCAAGAATACACGGCCGATGCTAGGGAACGGCTCGGTAAACACGTTCTGGTTGCAACAGATATGCAAATGAACAGCACTGTCTATGCAGGCCATGCCGAGGAGTTATAAGGAAGACAGTTGGGGCAACCAAGTGAGTTCTGTATGGGAGAGTCTTTTAAAAGGAAGCCACCATTTGGAGAAGGCTAAGAGTCCAGAGGCAGAGGACTAGCCATTGTTATAAGCTGTTACCAGGCAACTACTAGTGAAGGCACAGCAGGTTGTAAAAGACTTAGAGGGCGCTGTGGTGATTTGTAAAGTGTGGAGATTAGCAATGGCTGTACTTCTAGTTCAGAGTTGTGTGCATAAGTGGTCAGTAAATCCAATATCCAGTCCAAAGCCCCACCTATAATAACTCATTCACATGACAATATATTTGAAGTTGGTAATGATTACTTATCAATCTGTATATCAGTTGTACTCAGTACTTGACCACTTAACATATAGATTCACATATACAGAGATAATTTTAATCGGGTTGACGAGTTCACGGCTCTGTGCTTCATGGTGACTGGTGTGATGCATGCTGCAGGAAGCATGCGAGTTTTGCCGATGACTTAGCATTCCCGATTGCTGATAACTTTTGGAATGAAGGAAAATAATGAAGTTGTAGACATCTACATGGTATTATGTTCATGCATGGGAGTGTGTTTATGATTTTTCCATAGTAGGCAGCAGTTATCAGAGCCATGAGCCATTTGTTCCCAGTTAAGAGTTAGTCAGCAGTGTGGTACCACATGGTTCACTATTTTAGAGCAATGTGTATTTCTGTACAACACCTACATAAAATATAGATCTGCTGGAAACTGTAGGCGAAAATATTGACATAAATTTTGTGATGAAAGAGTTCCCAGCGGACAAATAATTCATAGTTTTGTGAACAGACTTAGAACAACAGGACTCTAAAAACATAAGCGCCAAGTGCTTACTGAGGAGAAGTTAGATGACATAGGGACCGGACATAAATATACACCTAGAAAATCACTGAAACGTCTAGCTCAAAAGACTGGAGTGCCAAAGTCTAGTGCAAGAACGACAACACAGTTGCTGAAGCCATCCAATGAAAGTTAGTGTCTGGTGTGGTGTAAGTGCAAGAAGGATTGTCATACGTGTGTTTTTAACGAAACATTTAATTGCGAAAGATGTCTATGTGTAGAGGGTCAGCTTTTTCAACACCTCCTGTGATCTGTGAACAAAGGTAAGCACTTCCCTTCATTCCAGATGTTTGAGGCATGCTGATTCATCAGAAATATTTGCATACACTCCACAGTAAGCGGTGCTCCAGTCCCTGTGAAGCACAGGGCTGTGAACGCGTCAAGTTTGGGGGGGGGGAGAAACTCTGTACACGCTAATTTAAATATCCTTTATTTACTTTTATGGTCCTCTGGGATACTGTACTGTGTAGTTTGGTAGAAAGACCACTTCATAGAGCATGCTCCCTTGAAACATTGGTGTATGTGTGAAGTGTATATATACCGAGCAATATAGCATGGCTTCCCGAATACTGTAATCTTGACATTCATAACTGTACAAACCACAAACATCATGCATTACTTAGGATTACAGTTCTGTAAATCAGCATTTCAGAGGTACCTGCAGCTTCCGTCTAGCAGCACAATAATAACAACACTTGCAAATTAGAGCTCGGACAGTACGCTGTCTTATACTATAACTGAAAATATTATTCTTTTCACAGATAGAAACTTATATATACAATAATGCCTTTGAATTTGATAATAACAAGAAAGTGAAACTGGCTGGAAACAAAGTTATGTGTGACTGTAATACTGCTCAGCACGTCAGGGTGAGTCTCAACATTGTATGAACCAATGAAGTGGTATCTTCAATCATCATATTTGTGTGTTTTGAGCTTGTGAAGATTCTGTATGTATTCTACTTGAAAAGACTTTTGAGGACAGTGTAATGATAATTCTAACAATTGTTACTGTTATTCTTCATTCCCACCTCATGACTCAAGGTAGGCGGGTTCAAACCCGGCAGAGGTCGTGGAATTTTTAAGGACGGAAAAATTCAGGGAACAAGTCCTCCGGGAGGGACTTTAAGCCGTGGGTCCCATGTCATAGCTTTACGGCACGTAAAACAACCTCATGTCTCAAAAGGAGGCAACTGCGCTAAACTAAGGACATTTCCCACCCAACAGTAGTCTCTAACGCCTCTGGTAGATGGGGGAAGCATCGAGACACCTCTGAGCCAGTAGAGGCCAACCTCACTGGCTGAGTAGGGACTGATGGTAAGCACCAGTACCGGTAGGGTATAGAGGCTGGTAGAAGATCATAGGGGGACGCACAATAGATCAAACTGGTCGCGGTGCATGGGGAAACGCACCCCCTCCAATAACAACAACAACAACAACAACTACAACTGTTATCCTTGGAACTGCTGTGTTTCTGTGCTTAGTCAATCATCTACATAATATTCCACAAAGTAAACAAAAGTTTGAAAACTGAATCAGTTTCTCTCCTTAGGTGAAAAGGTGAATAGGCATCTACTCAGTTGGGTCCCTTGTAGAAAGAGTTGACGTCAGTCAATTAAAGATCAAGAGAAGAGTGATAATTGTGTCAATATGATATGATATGGTATCGTGTCAGGATATTTAAAAAATAACTAGGAGTTAAGCAGTTAACCCTTTCACCTCCAAACTTTTCAAGCACTGACATTACCCCAAGACCAGATTCTTTTAACTACACCTAAGCCGCTATTTTTCTTTATTCTCTTGATTTTGTCTTTAAAAATGTTTACTGCTTCCACTTATATTCTTTAAACAGGCGCAAACATTCAAAAGCTTAAAGAATATATAACAAGAGTGTACTCAGCACTGGTTTGAAGATAAAAGAGAAACAAAGTGGAAGTGAGTGTACTCAGGATAGGGCCCAGTGGTCACGCTAAGTAGACATGCCTGTATTTGGCCGTCAGTTTCAGAAAGGATTAAGATTTAGGTGTTATGGTGTTTCCTGANGAAGATAAAAGAGAAACAAAGTGGAAGTGAGTGTACTCAGGATAGGCCCCAGTGGTCACGCTAAATAGACATGACTGTATTTGGGGGTCGGTTTCAGAAAGGATTAAGATTTAGGTGTTATGGTGTTTTCTAAGTGTTGGCTTTCTAAATGTAAGACAAGATGCATATGGTGATAACTTGCTTAGTGTCACATTTGTAATTATATATTTCACTTTCTTTAACTGGAAACCAAGCCCTAGTAACATCAATAAATTAATATTAAAATTTATGGTAGAAGCCTACCTTTTTCCTAAAAAAAACTAGATATTTATTTACAAAGAAATTTTTTATTTGCAGCCTTCTGAATTCTAACTCATGTCTAACTATCTGAAAACTGTTTATTTATCTACAGTCATTTATGAATATGACCACATCTGATTAATTCTTGTAGCACAGTTACACCCGTGAGGAATGTGATATAGTTTGTGTATTATTGATTCATCTGTCAATAATAGTGTCCAGTTAGTACCTGTCAAATATAATTTCTATATAACGTTGTTATTTTCTTCAGATGTGGCTTTTGAAGAATCGAAAACATATTGAAGACCACAATGAAATCCAGTGTGAAAATTTCAACGATAAGGTGGGTGTATTCATATTTACTTATAATATTCATTACTAATAATAGCATTTAACCATTTCTCACCACCTGAATTTTATTTGTTTTTTTTTTCTGCCAAAATTCCCATGTATTTTTGCAAATGTTGAGCATGCTTCCTATAATGTACCAGAAAATTGGGTGCATATGTTAAATAATGTTTATTTTGAAGAAAGTGATGCATATCATCCCATATACCATACCAGCTTGAATTTAGTGTATCTGACTCCACTCCCCAAATATAAGCAACCAAGACCTTTAAATGTCAGATTGAAAGACAGCCGTTTATTTGTATGTTCTCTGTACAAGATTGATAGACAACTGTCAGTATGCAAATGTTTCAGAAATATATAACTCAGGAAGGGGGGGCACGCAGTATCATAGTTGGTTGAGGCACTATGCTACAAGCTGGAAGGTCACGGGATCAAGTCCCTATGAGGTGGATTTTTTTCAACTGACCTAATCCTTCCAGCTGCACTATGGCCCTGGGGTCGATTCAGCCTCTAACAGAGATAAAGGACAGCCAGCACTTAAGGCTGACAACCTCACTGCCATCTATGAGCCGATTGCCTAGAAAATGTGGTAGCGTTAACGTCTCACAACCCTATGGGCCTCCATGGCCTCGTACAAGGACAGCTTTACCTAGCTTAGCTTACCTACCTAACTGGGAAAAGGATAGGTTATCAGTTTCTAAATTATAAACCATCATATGGTTATATGATTGATGAATTTTAAAGAAATTGGAAGGGAGTAGTCATGACTTGATCAAAATCTTTAATTTTTATATAATGATTTACTGTTGTGTGCAGGTGATGGATTTGGATCAGAATAAGGTTTGCACATATCCTCGTGTGTGGACGGACTATATCAACTACATCATTGCAAGTGAGGTTGTATTACTGCTGCTCCTTGTCAGCAAAGTTTCTTATGACTACTGGGTATTCCGTACTGCAGGCTACCTGCCTTGGCCTGCCTCCAAGATGCCTAAGATGCCTTGTGACTGGGTGTTTGAAACTTGAACAATATCACGTGTTAATATTTTATTCCAATTATGTTATGTGATCTGTGTACCAGTTAGGTTACAGCAGATTCCATAAAAATGATGCTGTAGATCTCAGGTGTGGTTTTTTTATTTTTCTGGTGATATGCAGATATGGACATATGTGTGAGTGAGCAATGGAATATTTTTGAAGGTGATTACAAAGTTGGTTAAAACGAAATGCTGAAGTGGTGACACAGATCTCATTATTCGTTCTTGTGCGGTAAGGTGTAGAAGCAAATATGGAAGGAAGTACCTGATAACTTCTAATAAATATAACTGGAGAGAGCTCGTTTCAGCTGTTAGAAACTGTTCATAGGAGCATATATTAGTGATATATGAATTCTTGCATAAATGAGAGAGAGATAGAAGTGTTGTGTGAATTCTTAAACAGGAGCTGTCGGAAGTGACATTATGATTACTGCATAGGAGAGGATAGATGTGGTGTCTGAAATCTTGGATAAGAGATATAAGAGATGTTTGGATTCTTGCTTAGAAGAATTCAGAAGTGGTATGTGAACTACAGCATACAAGCAGATGTAAGTGATGTTTGAATTCGTGTGTAAGGGTGGGCATAAGTGGTGGAGTTCTTCATACGGGAATATCTCAATTCTTGCCTAATATCAAATGCAAGAGATGTCTGCCATGTGTAGGAGAAATCAATCTTGCCTATGGAGAAGCCATAAGTGATGTTTAAATTCTTGTATTGGAGAAGACTGAAATGATGTCTGAATGTCTTACTATCATTAGTTTGCCATCTGAGGTATCAAGATTGAAGAGTCTATGATAAATCAGTCATGACACTCTCTGTCTTGTTTTCAAATAAGTTATTTGAAACATATAATATGTATAAGTATGTATATATTTTAAAAAAGTATACAGGTGTGATTTTTTTATAAATCAGATGTGATTAAATGTCCAATTTATAAGTGACTTGTTGAAAATAAGTATTTTTACAATTTAAAATGGTGATATGAATGCTATATGAGTTACATTACGCAGGGTAGAATGCAGAATATTGGGTGTCTTGACCATTAAGTGGCTTATTTTGCAATGTTGGCTGTTATGCCTTGTGATATGCTTTTTGTATTACTTACTGTAGTAATTTGGATACCATTTTCCATAGACAGAATGGAATTTTATTTAACATGGGTAACATGTGACATTGCATCTCATAGATGGAAAATCGTGATCCTGCACATTAGTTTAGGGTTAAAATTGAAGTTCTATGAAGGAGATTATTGGATTTTGTGTTGGAAACAGAAGACATGAGCAGTTATATATGTTCCTTAATTTATCGAAAAAGGTTTTTGTTTTATCTTTGAAAGAAATGTGTTCCTCTATTTATCAAGAACAATATTTTATCTTTCAAGGTGTATGTTAATGCTAAAGGTCACTATCCTTAATTAGAGTTGATTCCTAGTTTGAACATATTTATAATAATTTTGCTGTAATCTCCAAGTGAATGCTCAAGTGACTATTATGTTCCTTTCTTTCTTTGTGGGTGGGACGTGTGTGACCAGCATGAAGCGGAGAAAGTTGAGAACCACTGGCCTAACAGAAAGCTGAGTGAGATATGTTTGCTAATAATGAAAAGGTTATATTTAACGAGTCTATTATAGCATCAGCTGCTTATGTTACTGCAGTATGTTAACATTGTACTTACTGGCCATGTTTACAGTTCTGTTAGTCATTATTGGCCAGTAGCGTTCCTCATTTCTTCATCACTTTTAAATTATCAGGCATGTTTCATGCAGCTTTTATGAATTATATAAATTTTATAATTTTATGAATTATATAAAATCACATATAAAAGAAGATTAACTGAAAATGTGATTATTCTTTTTATGGTACTGCACTAACTTTGCCGACAAGTGGCAGTTGCTTGGTTAGAATTTGAACAGGGGTTTAATGTATATATATTTTCTTTACATTATTTGTTAAATATTCATAAAAATTACTTTAGAGTGAAGATGTGTCAGCCAATCCAAACTGAGCTGAAAAAGTACACTGATTATATTACATAATTTAGCTGACTTATGTAGTCCACATGTTAAAAAGAAAGATTTGATTGTGAAGAACTATATTCTATACTACTTTATTCTTTTTGGCGTTCTGGCTTTAATTTATGATTAAATTGATAAATGTGATCTATATTGCAGATACAGTCATGAAGTATGTTTTATGCTTTCACTTACTTAGTAATGTGTTACATACCTTTGTTATTACAGAATGTCTGACATAGAAAAATAAAAATCAGATATTTTATGTTAAAGAAGTTACTGAAAAATAAATTTTGTTATTTATGAATTTTAAACTTGTGGTTATCAGTTACAGTTTCACTCTCAGAGAGAAAATGCGTTCTAGCAATGCAAAAGGTGCAGGTATTTAAGTCTGTCCAAGAGCTCAAGCTTTCACACTGAATAAATTAACACATTAAAATATTAGAAAGTGACCATCAATATCACGGTTAAGCCAAAAAGTGTGAATGCAGCTGATTGCCTGAGAGGATTTCAGTGAGTTAACATTTGATGATTATGCATCTACAGTAATATGAAAATAAGCGAAGTTTAGGTGCAATTTATAATAAACGGAAATTTCGTGCACGCATATTTTAGACATTCACATTTCAGACAAACTAATAAGAGCTAAGCTGAGGTAAATACTATGAATTCAAGAACTGATTTTCAATTTTATTTTTTTCACATCTCCAAAAAGAATCATACATTCATCAAATTTTAGTATGCATCCGCTGTCAATCAAGAAGAATAGGAGAGTCATTGTGGCCACACTCCATGTGGGAAAAATGTTTCTATATTATCAAACAAGAATTTAAGTGATTTACTCTTGGAGTATACTTGTTTTTCAAATGCATTATTTGTGATTCTGTGATTCACTTGTAACTGCCACAGAACTTCTGTTACAAAAGTAAAGGAGTAGCAGCATACAGTCGAAGTCTTTTGTTAACAAATCTATTAAACAACATTTCCCTGTTAATGTAGTAATTACAGCACTGAAATATGTCTGAAATTAAAGTTCTAAGATTTTAATAAGGATATTATGTCTCATACTCATTCTCTCACCATCTTGCATGCAATTTACTCTTCATTCTTCATGACCTTCAGTTCTGTCTCTATTCCTCTTTTATTTCCCATCATTTATGTCTTTCTTTCTTGCATGTTCAATACAAAATTATTTTTTACTTTTCTGAAGGACTAACTGTCTGAGCAGTGGGCTAGAAGTTTCCAAGCAGAAAATCCTATTCTGTTGGTAAGCAAGCATCATGACATCTGTACATGCGGGGGGATTTCGTACTAAATGTTTGAAAACACGTTCCTCAACTTAAGTAGCATCTGATGTTTACATTCCATGCTTCAGCAGATCATTATAATGGGGCACAGAGGCCAAACCTACCCAAATGTATATCATAAGTTTTGTGTTTGGCATCCTGGTGTGTGTGTGTGTGTGTGTGTGTGTGTGTATATATATATATATATATCAATGTGTATACTGGAACCTCGGACACAGCAATAATTAGGAGGTTATAGTTCGATAAATAACTGATTTGGGCAATTTTATCAATATACCAATTGATTTATTAAATGATGACTGTCATGCTACATGTTTGGGTCATTCCAGATCTATCATAGCATCAGTTCTCGGTGCGCACACCCCGTAGTAACACACTCTTAACACCTCCCTCCCACTAAACATAAAGACCCACACTCCCATGTATTTTATTAAAATTGTAAACTATAATTTATGAAAACTTGACCTTGTCAAAAATATAAATTGAAAAAAAGAAATATACCAAATATTAATAACAGACACATTAAAAGTGTTCCTAAAAAGCTGTTATTCTATTATGAATATTCTAGAGCAGGGGTTCCCAAACTTCTTTGGGCCACGTACAACTTACCGCGTAGATTTTCATTGGCATACCACCTGAATATTAAATGAAATATTTTAATAACTCTGAATGGAGTGAGAGTGAAAGTGAGTCAACAGTAGGACCCCCATGATTTTCAAACAAGGTAAGTTTGCCGTGCAAATGACATGTTTATTTGTGCATACATAAAATACCCTGACTTTGAAGATGGAGGCGGACCACTTGAAATTCTTTTACAGTCCCCTGGTGGTCCACGGACCACGTGTTTGTGAAACTCTTGCTCTAGAGCGATCAGTAAAAATACCATTAAAAAAGTAAGTAAAGGTATCCCTGTAACAGGCCGTGGAGGCCCATAGGCTTGTGAGATGTTGAGGTTCCCACATTTTCTAGACAGTCGGCTCACAGATGGCGGTAAGGTTGTCAGCCTTACGCGCCGGCCGCCTTTTACCCCAAAGAATATTCCTGGTACTCATTTCTGTTAGAGGCTGAGAGGATCCCAGGGCCATAGTGCGGTTGGAAGGATTAGGTCAATTGAAAAATTCAATGACCTCATCGGGACTCGAACCGGCGACCTTCCGGCATGTAGCAGTGCCTCAACCAACTACGCTACCGCATGCCCCCGGTAAAAATACCCTTAAACAGCTTAAACGTAAATCCGTAAACAGGATTCCTAGCTATCTTCTCTCGGAAAATGTCCTGGTGACGTTCATAATGCTAACGCATTCTGCATTTGAAATATTGTTGTTTAAAAACCTAACAGCCAATAAAAGAACCATAAAGTTATAAGAAACTGGGCCATTATTTTAAACATTTGTTTAATCATAGGCCGAAGTTCTATTTCTTGTTCGTAACGGAAAAAAAAGATACTGTTAGGCAAATCTATAACTAATTATCTATAGTCATAATTCATGTGTGGTTCCCTTTATTTTCTTCAACATTTACGATTCCTGCGTTTATGTAAAATACGCCATGGAAAATTTTACTATAGCAGGGCCGTATCTTTGGTATATTCACGTCTTAACTGATGCAAGAAAATAAGAACTCATCACTGAATACCAGTTTGATCAATCGTCACAGTAAAATGTTCAGAATTGATGCTATATTCACGAAAGTCGCCTTTATAACTGACTGCCTATCTATCTATCTATCTATCTATCTATGGCTCTACAGTCTTTTTGTTTGGCCTTGGCCGCTTTTTCGGTCTGTTAACCTTACACACAGTCGGTAGGACTCCTTGGACGGGGGATCAGTCAGTCGCAAGGCCGCTACCTACACACAGAACAGCACAAACACAGAATAAACGCACACAGACATCTATGCCTTGAGTGGGATTCGAACCCATGGTCCGAGCAAGCGAAGACAGTTCATGCCTGAAACCGCGGGGCCACTATAATAGGCACCTTTGTTAACTAGTATCCGTTTAAAAAAAGAAACATAATCACTTAAGTCCTCCATGTTTTCCTATATCCGAGTAAAACTTCATGGTGCCGAACTAAAATAGATCATATTTGTTTCTTCTTACTATCGCCCCATCCCATTTTTCAATGGAGATACAATCTATGCAGTAAATTCATAGCTCTGAAACTAAGAAATATTTCACATTGGTTGGTATTACAAAAATCGAGACATTTCTTGACTTAATGCCAATCATTGACAACAAAACCCATACATCTAGCAACAGTAGGCAGACAAGGACAAGCACCATTTACCTGTGCCTAAGAACTGTGCCAAAGAAACAAATAATTACGAACGGGTTGGCATAGCAGTAATGCTCTATGCTCGCATTTGAAAGGTATTCGGTTCGAATCTCGGCCAAGACGCTGGTTATTCTGAAGTTTTTCGTGTTTTTCTTCTGTGTCCCTCCGCGTAAATGACGGAACAGTGCCTTGATTATGGCAGAAGTATCCTTATACCATATCTCTAGCTACAAAATAACCCCTGGGGGGGGGATTGGCGAATAGAACACGTGTGGGGGAAGGAAATGTCGCAACCAGTCATTATGGCTCCTATGCCGGGAAACGAACTCCGAAACACTAAGCATCATTAACCAAGTGGCACGGTAAATTACGTAGGCAGTACGTAACACTCGGGTTGGATGTAATTCATTCTTAGTCCTTTACAAGGCTAAACATCGTTAAATAAACATACAGACTAACCGGTCTGCTCTAATATAGTCAAAGTACGGAAACATGACACTCACCCTTGTCGCTGAATTGAGATACAGACTCAGGCGTTCGAATTCGTTTCTGTGTATTTCAGGTTCATCGGTAAACTTACACTCGCCGACGTCAATGTTATCAAGAACTGCACAATTATACATTTCACCACACACAGCCACTTTTACAATCAACAATAATTACACTGCACACGACACAAAATGAATGCTTTGTCCTACAGCAACACGGGAACCTACGTCTTTACACGAACTGAGACATTCATCGGATACAGTTTCCCAGACATATTGAACATATCTCGATAGTTTCAAACATACCTACATTCAGCCATATCGAAACGATCGAGACAGTGAAATGTCTTAATTTGCCGCCAGAGACCGCCTTCTTCTACGAGCTTTCTGAAAGGAGAGTGACAGACAAGATAATTAATTAAATACAACTTCTTTCGCTGACGTACAAAATACATAGTACGAAAATAAAGTTCCATTAAGAGAGATATTAAGAGGAGATTTAATTACGAGAACGCTTGCTGCGACTGAGATTGTGAATATGATCCTGTGGGTTGTAACACCGTGTAGTTTTGTACAAGTCCACCAAACTTTCGGAGTAACGTCTATCGAATGAAATCATATTACAACCTAAAATATGATCCCGCTATGTCTTCCCGTCTTCTGTCTGAACATGTATGCATATGATTTGACATGTTGCTTGATATGGATGTGACGATTTGTCCCACCCTAACTGAAGAATATAGAAAGAGTGTGTCAGAATAGGGAGCTGAAGAAAATATCTGGACTTAACAAAGAGGAAGATAACAGGTGGATGAATAGAATTTTAGAATGAGGACCTTTATAATTTGTACTCTTCACCATGTTTAATGGGCCGGGAATGTAACATAAATGGATAAAATGAGAAATTCATACAAAGTTCAAATTAAAAAAAAACTGAAGCAAAGAAAACACTTGGGAGATATAGGTGCAGAATGAGTGGAAAATATTAAAGCCTATCTTAAATGAATTGGCTGTGAAGTTGTAGACTGCATTCAGCTGGCTCAGGATAGGGAACAGTGGTGGGCTTTTCTGAATATAGCAATGAATGCAGGATTTGAGGTGCTCACAGCGGTGGTTATCTTCTGGGACATAACGCCGTGTATTCAGTAAAAATCAACCGACGTTTAGGATGAACATGTCGCCTCTATCTTCATGTTCGAAAAACAAGCCAGGCAAGAATCCAGCGTGAAATAGGGAGCAAATAGGGATCTGAAGAAAGCAGTCTTCTGGGATTTGGCACCGTGTATAAGTGGTGTTAACCGACGTTTCGGAGGAACGTATCGCCTCCATCTTCAGGGTAGAAGAGAAAGTATAAGAAATCTGCAAGCGACAAGACCGTGAGAAACGGTAAAAGCGTCTGCTTTTACCGTTTCTCACGGTCTTGTCGCTTGCAGATTTCTTATACTTTCTCTTCTACCCTGAAGATGGAGGCGATACGTTCCTCCGAAACGTCGGTTAACACCACTTATACACGGTGCCAAATCCCAGAAGACTGCTTTCTTCATAGTCACCGCCGTGAAAGCCTCAAATCTTACAAATAGGGATCTGTTTTCTACCTGTTTCACGCTGGTTCCTAGTCTGAAGATGGAGGCCGCATGTTCCTCCCAAACGTCTGTTGACTTTCAATGGTTTACACTGCGTTGTATCCCAGAAGATACAGCTCTTCATAGCAATGAATTATGACAACTTTTTGAATATCTGAGCGACCACTAACTTCTCAAGAAGGACTCTGTTCCGTGGTATTACTCTGTTACCGAACATCAGTAAGGAAGCCAGTATGGAGGAAATGAGTGATCTAGTGGCGTCGGCCAAAACGGATAATTTTCAATTTTGGAATGTGTGAGTACTGTCTGATGGTAATAAATCTGTAGGTGACATTTCATGGTAGTGTTGTCTGTTATTGTGTCACACACTGAAGGGAATGACACCAGTGTGTGAATAAACATTACACGATCACATATGGCTGTCACGCTCGGCTGCGAGGACTGATAACGTCATGTAATTAAGACACTGATAATTTTAGAATTTACATAGCCACTATGAGTAAGCCAACATCTGTCACAAATTTGAACAAGGCAGAAAACTTACACTCTGTTTCGAAGTAAAATGTGTTTCCACATACTCATATACGCCTTTCGATATTTGTTTTCATGTTAAAAAAATGAAGAATTGGTAAAAAGCAAAAGAAAAAGGCCGTGAAGGCCCATAGAGTTGTGAGACGTCAAAGCTCCCATATTTTCTAGACAATCAGCTCACAAATGGCTGTGAGGTTGTCAGCATAACGCGCCGGCCGTCCTTTACCCCCAGGAAGATTCTTGGTACTCATTTCTGTTAGAGGCTGAGTCCACCCCAGGGCCACAATGCTGCTGGAAGGATTAGGTCAATTGAAAAAATCCACCTCATCGGTACTCGCACCCGCGACCTTCCGGCTTGTAGCCTAGTGCCTCAACCACGAGGTACCACGTGCGTGCCCCATGAAGTATTAGGTTCGAACACAGTATTACGTAGTGCCAATTTGTCCATCGCAAATCCCAAACTACCTGGGCTCGAACCCGGGCCGCCAAGGTAGGAAGCCGGCGACTAACCGCCTGAGCTATGGAACGGTCTGCGGACATTGATATTAATGATGCTGAAAATACATTTCTTCGCTACCACAGAATTTGTTTCTGGGTGAAAGCCAAACAAAACTTCCTCCGTTACAGCGTAAAAATGAGAACAAAAAAAAAAAACAGGCAGATTTATACCCCTTTAAAAACATTGAGGAGCTAAGTAAATTTATGGGACGTTGCTTGGATCTTGCGCCTACGTCTCTATTCAGAAAGGAAATAAACACCGTGAGATGGGGAGCGATGTTTCAGCTTCTGACACAATGTAAGATAAACACATTGTTCTTATGTATAGGTCCATGCATTTCTCAGAACAGAATATCTTACACATCGAACCGAATAGTACAGTGTAGTGTCTTGTAGTCTGCAGGATAGTTACAGACGTTTCGGAGGAACTACCTGCGTCCATTTTCAAGATAGCTGGTAGGTATCTTTCAGATTCTATGAAGTCCGAAGCAAAAGCTGTCCCTGAGCTTACTAATTAAGCGCTACGCCATGAAGGCGTATTAAGGAGTGGATGTATAGACCCGCGTTTTCTTGACCTTAGCACTATTTGGAGGTGAGTTGTCAGTTTCATTCTCCGGCCGCTCTACTCCCGGGGAAAGAACCCTCGGTACCCATTGGATGGGCCCCAGAACCTGTCTGGACTACATGGAGAGGAGAAATTTCTTGACTCTACCGGGACTCGAACTCTGACCCTTCGGCCGTCCAACCCGCAGCCAGTCGCTATATTCTGCACTACCACGGCTCCTATGAAGTCTGAATCATATCTAAATAATAATTAAAAATTCAGTTTCTAGAAAACACGCTGTTTCTCCAGTCAATTAATGCTGTTTAGGGAAATAATCATTGCTTATTCTGAGAATCATGTTAAATGCATAAATACACCGTGTGGGCAGAATGCGGAGCCTTTTGAATGGTAAAGATGACAGACAGCCATTGTGCTGCAACGGGCTAAAGCTAAAGGTCGAGTCGAGGCACAGACGTCACGAATATCAAAGAGAAGCAGAAAAACATATTCGTTAAGTTATCCCGAGGCATGGTCCAAATGTCCACGGGTGCCAAATGTGCAACAGATGTGAATACGCACAGACCAGTGTCTTCGTCAAGGCCACTGCTTTCCGGAAGGCGTCAGTACACGCGACTTACTGCATCCACAGAAAGCACAGAGGTCTGACCAATGTCTTTTTGTCGTGGATATAGGTTTAATGAATTTTCAAAAAGTTAAAACGAAGGAAGTGAAGCAACTAGACTGCGGGATAGAGAACAGACTACTTGGGGTTCGATTCCAGATAGTTACCAGAGACGCATGTCTTCTCCACTGCTTCCCGAACGGCTCTAGAACCCACCCAGATTCATATCAACGGGCAACGGTGGCGCCTTCCCCTCGGGATAAAGCGGCCGGAGCAATAAGCTGACCGATAACTTCCATCTAGTTCCAAGGTAAATAAGGAGCCGGGATAGCTCAGTCGGTATAGCGACTGGCTACGGGCTGGATGACCGAGGGGTCGGAGTTCGGGTCCCGGTAGGGTCAAGAATTTTCTCTTTTCCAAGTTGTCCAGACCGACCCTGGGACCCATCCAGCCTCCTATCCAATGGGAACCGAGGGATCTTTCCCCGGGGGTAAAGCGGCAGGGGCGTGAAACTGACCACTCACCTCCAACTAGTGACGAGGTCAAGAAAACTTGGGTCTATGCATCCGCTCCTCCATACACCTTCATGAAATAACGCTTATTTAGTTAAGCACAGGAACAACCTTAACTTTACCAAGGTAAATAATGCTTTAAGTTGAGATAACCAGTCACTCACCTTGGCGATGAAACGAGGGATGACTTGAGAGGGTATGAAAGCACTGCGCAGGCGCATATAGTGGGAGTGTGTGTGATCTAATTCTCTTAGAATGTAAACTGAAAGAAGAAATGCTATTACTTCACTCGGATACCCAACGGCCCATGTGCGAAATCTCAGATGTTTGCTGTCGATCTGTCAACAGTCCTCGTGTAGCAACACGCGAGCGCCTGGCCTCCAGAAGGGTTCTGCTCAAGTCTGCGTGTGGCTGTGTGCTAGTTCTGACGCGAATTAGTCGTGTAGACCACTGTACGCGGTTGCTTACCGTAAATCTGATTCCTACATTCAACTTCAGTGAGTTCCTTTCAACGTAACAAGATATAAAAAGGTTTGTACGTGAAGTGCATGTGACTCGTTAGCGGTTCAACTTGTCATGTCGCATCTGGGACCAAGTCTGTGACAGGTTTAGCGTTTGCGCCAAGTTTTCTATTTTTCTCTATTTACTTCCGTCTTCATTTATTTATGTCATTCGTTTTCTGTATGAATTCTTTAGCGTTTTGTGTGTTTGCCTCTTTATTCTTTGTTTCTTTTTAAAATGTACCCTTCTTGCTCTTCTATTATTATAAAAAGTGATTCGAAATTATTGTCTGGATTTCCGTGGCCTATCATTTTCAAACTGGGAAAACAAAGCCAACCTGCTTAAGGAATATGAAACTATAACTCAGAGAGATTTATTTCACTGGCAATAAAACTTTTTTACTTACACTTTTTATTCCATAACTGGTTTTATTTTTAACTTTTATTGAACATATACAGGGTGTTTCACGACTTTAGGGCATAACTGCAGGAGGTGATTTCCTAGGTCTTTGTGATCAAAAAAGTTCATATAAACATGTGTCCGATTTTACGGAGTTATGACCGTTTTAAACTTAGAATAGAAGGTAACGATTATGACAATAAACGGAACAAAATAATAAACCAGCATAATACATGATACATTTAAAGTATGAATGTAAAGTTAACTTCGTGAAATTTCCTTTAATTTGAATTTATTGGTGCTTAAAGCTGATTTTCGAAAATGCCACCGCCGGCCGCAACACATGCTGCCGCTCGGTTGTGAACCGCGACGGACATACCACCCACCACGCCTTAGGTACCTCTCAAGTGTCTAGATAACGAGAACGCTCTGTCTGTAGCTGGCTAAAAATAGCGACCCGACAGTTGACAGACGCGGTTCACACGAGGGCGTGTACGGGAATGAAAAAACGGCCATAACTCCGTAACTGTCCAAAATCGGACACATATTTATATGAACTTTTTTGATCACAAAGACCTAGGAAATCACCTCCTGCAGTTATGCCCTAAAGTCGTGAAACACCCTGTATACACACAACTCCTTAACTAGAAGTAACTATCACTGCGCTATCACTGTTTCACACACTTTGCAGTTTACTACAGCACACATTAAATCTTCTCAGTCCGCTGTATCTTCACCAGTCGTGGTCTGGTAATGGCTCCCAACGCCGTAGACACCTCAACTTCCGTGTTCACAGCCTTATTGGCCGGCGACTGTCTCACAGCTAACTGCCAGGCTGGAAGTCATATCACGCCAACCCCCTCTTGTGATCAACTCCAACTGACTAAACTCTAGACTTGTCCTGCTTATAACAACTCGGCATGGATCATATTTGGATTGCCCCGGGACGTTCATATTTTGGTTTGCCAGGGCCTGTCCAAAAGTCTACCAATTGACAGCTTCGTAACCCACAAATAAATATTACATGACACTGCATATCAGAAGAGAACAATCTTCTTGGTATATACAAGAAATTCCTTCGGAACCATTGACATGCACGTAGCTACATGGAGCTGAGTCCTTGAGAATCGTCCAGTTGCACAGCTACACAAGAATTCACCAACATTTTATGAAACCCAAATTGTGTAACATTTCACAATTTGTTTTTTCAGTGAGGGGTTGATAGCCCCACCCTCAATCCCCAAGCTGAAGGACCAACCCTTGCCGGCTGTCAGGACCATGCTCAGAAGCATTGCCCTATCTTTTGTGTAAGAAAAAATTCTCTTTCCTCCTGCAGGCGTGACCGGCTTCTTCGTCTGCTCCTGGGAGCAGCTTCGGCCGAAATGTCTCACCACGGTGTAACGACATTGCTACAACTCGTAATGCTCTCAGGTGTAAGTTCGGGTGCACTATACGAGCACAGTTACTTTCAGGACACTTCTGACAGGTAAGTGACCCAGTTCTCCAGGGCTCCTATTCCACAAGCGTTTGCGGCGAATGTCAACGAGCTATGGACTTAAATGGATCTGAAGAATACCGTCTTCTGGGATGCGGCGCCGTGTAAAGCTCGTGTGAACCGAAGTTTCGGAAGAAAGTATCGCCTCCATCTTTCGGCTATAAAATCCGCGAGCGAGGAACCAGCGTGAGCAGGAGGCTAGCAAAGCAATCGGATTATGGAGAAAACAATATGAGAATGGAGGAGTTGAACTGTTGCCGTCAGTTCGCCCGTTGGACCGAACGAAACCAACGGTTTACAAACCCTGCTTTCCACCTGGATTCACGCTGGTTTCTTGTTCGGCTTTTCTTCGACCCTGAAAATGGAGGTGATTTGTTGATCCGTAACATCGGTTAATTTTCAACAGACTACACGGCGGTAGATCCCAGAAGATAGAACTCTTCATAACAACAATTAAATCCTATATAATTTGAATCCTTTTCAGAATATCTCACCTCTAGTTATGACAAATTACATCCCTGACTATTCTATGCTTGTTTCTAGGTGTAGGGAGATCAGTTCCTGCGGTATAAACACTAGCAGCACCTTCTCGATTTCCCGCGTCTGTCAATGCGATGACCTGTGTGCCACGTATGGGGACTGTTGCCAGGATTCGCCCCACTTCAAACCATCGCCCCTACAAACATGCCTCACGGCAGGAGACTGGAACACCGCTTCAAATTACAAGGATAATTACTATATGGTGACGTCATGTCCCTCCTCGTGGCTGGGGGAAGAAACGCGTTCCAGATGCGAAAACTACATCGAAACAATCCGACGAGAACCGATACTGGGACTCCCCATTACCAGCAGTGCCACCAATATCACGTACCCGAACTATCACTGCGCAAGGTGTAACGGTGATCTCCATATGAGCACAATGATAAGATGGAAACTCGCAGTCACCTGCGATCCAAGTCTTTCACTCCCAGTACCAGACATTGATACAGTCATTAAGGAGTCAACTTATGGAAAAGATTTTAAGTTCAAGCCAAAATTTGCAAATGCCAGTTATCACACTTGTAAATTATATGTTTGGAGACCGTTTAAATTACTTCGCAGATGTCACGAGCGAACCGTTGATTCCTGTCCACCCTCGTGGCGCAATGATACATTGAGGAAGCAGTGTGAGGCCTACACTTCTTTGGTATTTCGGCTGAAGTACAAACCTTTCCGCAACCCGCACTGCGCTACTTGTAATCACGTCCCTAACAAACTCATAGGTTGTATAAAGGACGGGTTAGTAATAGAGACTTTATTTCCAATACTGTTTGACTTCTCGGATAGTTCCAGTGACGTGGTTGGGAAGACAAGAATTTGTGCAAACCACAACGAAGCATATGATCCAACTGCAAAGAAATGCCGTCACATAATATGGTCAATAGCAGGACAAGAAGATCTTCATGAATTAGACAATTGTTACGGAAACATTTCCAAATGTAATATAAAGAATTGTTCAAGGTTCGTTTTAGATCCGAATGAATACTCACTTAATGACAATTTGACTGTGACAGATTTATCATCCAATAAATTATATGCAGACGGAGAATTCAGAATAATGGATGACGGTCGTGTGGAAGTGTGTGCCAAATACCAAGTAATTGAAGAGAAGTTTAATAGTGTCATGAAGTACATGACATTCTTGGGACTTGGCGTGTCAATTGGGTTCCTTTTTCTGCATCTGGTTGCCTTCGTGATAAATCCTGCTCTCAGAAATCTGTCTGGGAAAAACCTGGCTTCATTATGCACTGCTCTGATTTTGGCATATGGATCTTTCATCATTGGACAGCTGCTGCAAGTTGGAGGTAAGCAGTTTTTCAGTTTAATTTCACTGGGTAAAAATTTGAACATCTCGGCCTGACAATTTATGGATCCAAAGAAACGCATCCATCTATGGTTGGCCATTCCCATTAAATTTCCCTGAAGCCTACAGCCCATATTCAGTGTGACTCAATGTGAATTTCTGTCCCCATGTAGGACTCACATGACTGTCCCCAGAAACAATTACGTGGTGACTTTCTGTCCCCATGTATGACTCACATGCCTGTCCCCAGAAACAAATTATGGGGTGATTTTCTATCCCCATATATTACTGACAAGAATGTCCCCAGAAACAAATTATGGGGTGACATTCTGTCCCCATGTGTGACTCACATGACTGTCCCCAGAAACAATTACGTGGTGACTTTCTGCCCCCATGTATGACTCACATGACTGTCCCCAGAAACAAATTATGGGATGACTTTCTGTCCCCATGTATGACTCACATGCCTGTCCCCAGAAACAAATTATGGGGTGACTTTCTGTCCCCATGTATGATTCACATGCCTGTCCCCAGATACAAATTATGGGGTGACTTTCTATCCCCATGTATGACTCATAATAATGTCCCCAGAAACAAATTATGGGGTGACATTCTGTCCCCATGTATGACTCACATGACTGTCCCCAGAAACAATTACGTGGCGACTTTCAGTCCCCATGTATGACTCGAATGACTGTCCCCAGAAACAAATTATGGGGTGACTTTCTGTACCCATGTATGACTCACAAGAATGTCCCCAGATGCAAATCATGATGTGCTTCCTTGTCCCAAGGAGTGGGCTGCAAGGTAACTGCTGTGGTCACCTACTACTGTTTCCTCTCTTCGTTCTCATGGCTGTTGTTGATGGCGTTCGACGTGTGGCGTACGCTAAGACTATCTACCGTGCGCCTGCGCGTTGTGTCAAGAGAGTCACGTCGGTACGTGTTCATCACATACTCTGCATTCTGCTGGCTCATCTTCCCAGGAATTCTCGTTTCCACGGCGTTCGGCATGCAGTACTTCCACGTCGAGAACGCTTTCATTCCAGGGTTAGTACTGCTATTACGGTTTAAGACATGGTATGACGCAAGAAAAATTTAATGCTGCGGAAGAGGGGGGAGGGAGTGTGCTCACGCCGCAAACATGGCGCAAATTTTCAAAATTTTCTCGAATGAATTTCTTCCTGAGAAATGGCACAACACACGCAATAAGTTTTTTTGCTATATAGCATCATGGCTACAAGTAATGGTAAAATCAGAGTTATCCCTGTAATTAATTCATTAAGCACCACGCGACTATATGGAGGCGAGTGGTCAGCCCCGGCCGTCTTACTCCCGGGGAAACACCTCCCCGGTACTCATTATAGAGGAGGCTGGGAGGGCCCCAGAAGCAATCTAGATACTATGAAGTAGATAAGATCTCTTGCCCTGCCGGGAATCGAACCGTAGGCCGTCCAGCTTGCAAACCGTCGCTATACCGACTGAATTATCCCGGCTCCCAGGATCATGCCTGTAACTAAAAGTAAAACTCTTCAGGTGAAATTTCGCTTTGTTCGCTAAGTAAACTGACGAGCCTATAAATCACACAACTGGAGCCTAGATATAGAGTAGGAGAACCGATATGCCAGTGTTTTCAGGATAAATTGCATTAACACTAACATATAAAGCTCTGCAAGTGGTAATACACGTATCTCTTGTAGGTTTGGACTACACAACTGCTGGTTTGGTAACCGCAAAGCGTTGATTGTCTTTTTCGCCATCCCAGTTGGTGTCATCATGGCGCTGAACCTGGTATTCTTCATGTCCAGTGCGTGTATGATCTGCGAAACAACAGTGTCTTCATCTAACAAGAGTTCCAGCACTCGCAGGGATTACAGACTCTTCGCACGCTTAGCTTTTCTTATGGGTCTCACGTGGATAGTGGGCTTTATTGCAGACTACTTGAACCTGAACGCAGTTTGGTACATCTTCGTGGCTCTAAATGCCTTCCAGGTAACTATTCAATTTACAATAACTTTGCCTGTATTTTTGTATTGGTGTGAAACTTGGTCTCTGACACTAAGAGAGAATCATAGACTGAGGGTCTCTGAGAACAGGGTGTTGAGCAGGATATTTGGACCAAAGAGAGATGAAGTGACAGGAGGTTGCAGAAAACTGCATAATGAGGAGCTTCATAACTTGTACTCTTCTCCGAGTATAATTAGAATAATCAAGTCAAGGAAGATGAGTGGGCAGGGAATATAGCATGGTAAAACCATAGATATTTAGATATATGGAAGGTGAATTAGCTTGTAAAACTTCGCTTCGAAAACTCAAATTTCGGAGTGTTCCCTTCAAATAGGTCGCAATCACATCCTTCAGGATATTTTCCTTGGAGGCTGCCACTGTAGGCCCATTAGTAGCGGAAATAAGAAGGAACATTTATCCTATCGTTGATTCAGTCAGACATTTCGACATGAAAAGGCCGCCATATTTAAAGAAACTTTTTTCCAGGGTTTCTTCATCTTCGTAGCCTTCACGTGGACAAAGAAGGTAAGGAACGGATTCAGATCCCAAGTATCTGGAGATACTAAATCAAACTATATGAAGAAGAAGGATACATCCTGCTGGTCCTGGACAAGCAGCAGGACAGGTCACACCGAGAGCACTGAACTCGGGATCCCTCTGAAAAGGCGACGCTCATCACTCCCTTGTAGTGCACCATGCGAGCGCAACTGAACGCGTATGAAACTCTGCACCTGAAAGCCCGGAACAGTGGGGAAGAGACAGCCTTTGATAGGTAACGGCCGATAAACACTTACCCGCGGCAACGGATACGTACGTAACAATAGAACTGTCAGAAGCGGTGTTTTCTATGTGGTCCGTGCCGATGCTATGTGTACGGAAGCTTAAGAATCCATATTGTTACTCTCGTCAGAGAGGATGTTCGGCAAGTGTTCAGGTGGAAATTAAAATTACTTGTCATGAGTCTCAAGGGGCTTGTCGCCAAGACGAACTGATTGGCGGTAAATCGCCAGTCGTAAAGTAACTCTGACTCTTGACTATATTTTTGGAGATCCATCTCCCGTGGAGGCGTGTTCGAATACCTCCAGCGTAGCCCTGCGTGTCGTAGAAGGTGATGAAAAGGGAACCCAGTGCCTGGGGGTATAACTGGGCCAGCCTGGGTCCTGGGGGGGGGGTACGAGTAAATACGGGGTCCTGGCCCTCCAGATTGGGGGAGTCTCGAATCTGAGAGTCCCGCGGGACTCGGACTGAGAATAACTGCGCTGGCGAGGACCAGCAGCAATTATAAACGACAGACCTATCCTCTCGTCATAGAAGATGTTACATAAGGACTATAACTGCAAGTGTTCAGTTGGAAAATAAAATTGCTGGTCATGAGTCCCAAGGGGATTGTCGCCAAGACGACTGATTGGCGGTAAACCGCCAGACGTAAAGTAACTCTGACTCTGACTCTAACTACATTGTTAGCAGCCGTTATCAGGCAACGACTGATGAACACAGAAGACATTATATATGCTGCAGTACAGTGATTTGTAGAGTGCGTAGATCCGCCAAAGGGTTATAGTTATCTGTAGTTATGAGTTATAAGGATTCAATAAATCCAATTACCAATCCAAACGCCATGTCTAGTCACCAAAACGTGACAATATCTTAGGGGTGATTGTTAAGTAGAAAAGGCTGGTCAGATATTGTAAAGCTTAATCATTTGTACCCAGAGAAGTTTCATGGAATTGATACGGCCTCATAAAATGGATTTTCCTAAGGAGCTTAATTAGTGATGAGGGTCACGAAGGATAACAGGATACGAGCTCCTTCGCCGCTGCAGAGAAGACAAAATACTGACAACAGTGTTTTACATTGTATATTGGCCGCGCCATAGCTCAAGCGGTTAGTCGCTGGCTTCCCACCGCGGCGGCCCGAGTTCGATCCCGGGTCTGTTAAAGTGGGATTTGTGGTGGACAAAGTGGCGCTGGGGCGGGTTTTCTCCAAGTACTTCGGTTTCCCCTGCCAATCTTCATTCCGCCAAATTCTCCATCATCATAATCACCCGGGGCAGGTACAATAGGCCAATCAGTGGCCGCCGTGCCGAGTGGACCCAGTTGGACTCCACACCCCACTAAGCGAATTACATTACACATATGAAAAGATAGATTTTCATCTGTAAAGGCGCCTCCACATTACTCGTGCTCGTCGGGGGACTCGTCTGGCTTTTACTTGTGCCCGTAAATCTTCGTCCACACTACTTCAGTTGCTCGCCAGGCTTCGTAGGGTGAGGATCAGTATATTTACTCGTAGTGTGTATAGGCTGTAGTCATATTTTAATTTATTGGCTATAGTTTTTAAATTAAAAATTTTAAATTTGCTTGTCTCGTGACTTGTCATATCGTCCACATTACTAGCGAGCATAGCGAGTCACACGAGCATGAGTAATGATGACGCGCCTCAAGGTGCGTCATCTGTTGAAATCTTTCTAAGTTTTCGGCAAACATTGCGTTGCAGCCTGATGCGTGTGAAACTGTCGGTCAGTCGGGTAAATTGATGCTGGTCTTTACCACCACAGACATTCTTATTTCGATACTCAGGACTCTGAGAGTAGTGAAACTCCTCTCACTCTCCATATTACGAGTTAAAGTCACGGATGTTATAAGTCATAAAATGACAAGTGCATGCCTTTTACTTTCAGTGCCAAAGAAGCGCCGGTTTTATACCCTAACGGAATATTCGGTATTTATTTAAAACCATCGTAACTATGAGCGATGGCCGTGCCATGACTCAAGCGGTTAGTCGCCGATGTCAAGCCGCGGCGGCCAGAGTTCGATCCAAGGTCAGGTCATGTGGGATTTGTGGTGGACAAAGTGATACTGGGGTAGATTTTCTCCGAGTATTTCCGCTACCCCTGCCAATTCTCATTCTATCAACTGCTCCATATTTATCTATCATTCGGGGCTGGGACAATAGGCCGGTTAGTGGCTGATGTACCAAGAGGTCTCAGTCTCACCCCCTCCCCACGCAACCAGGAGCGAAACTGTAGAACATTGCTTTAACGTTAATCAGTAAGATTAATGTATTTAGAGGTAGCATGGAACTCCGGACCCTCCTTTACGAAGGCACGTGATTGGCGGAAGAAACAAGAGCCGAGATCGTCCGTGTCAAGATGGAAAAGGAGCAGTTCAGATTTCTGTCTCTGTATTATTATATTAATTTATATTATATTTATGTTTAATTGATATGGTTCATGAACTTCCGAGTAATTATCAGCGAATTAAATCACAGAAGATGCGAAAATTTCAGTACTTCAAAAGTGGACACTNCTTCCCCCACCCCTCCCACACCACTGCTTTCACTTGTTTACTTGCAGTTCATCCCCTTCCCTCTCTGCTCAACGGTATGTTCTTTAGTCTGCTTGACCGTGTCTCACGGTGTTGTCGCTTGCAGATTTACTTATACTTCTTCAACCCTGAAGATGGGGGCGATACGTTCCTCCGAAACGTCGGTTAACACCACATATACACGGTGCCAAATCCCAGAAGACTGCTTTCTTCAAAAGGTAAAGTTGTTCCTGTGCTTAACTAATTAAACATTACACCATGAAGACGTATGGGGGAGTGAATGTATAGATCCAAGTTTTCTTAACCTCGACACTACTTAGAAGTAAGTGGTTAGCTTCACGCCCCGGCCACACTACCCCCCAGGAAATCCCCCCGTTACCCTTTGGATAGGAGGTTGGTTGGGCCCCAGAACCGGTCTGGACGACGTGGAGAGGAGAAATTTCTTGATTTTACTGGGACTCTTAACTCCAACCCGTAGCCAATCGCTATCCCGGCTCACTCAGAAGTGGATACTAAGCTGATTTAATGTAATAATTATGCGTGAAGATTGCTATTTAAATGATGGCTATGTGTTTTGAAAGTGAAGCTTTGATGCAACTCAGTGGCTCACAATTTGTCAATGCACTGAACCCTTAGCCACTTACTCATTTCCCGTACCGCATTCAAATGTACAGTTTCTTCCTGAATTCGCTGGACGACCGAGGGGTTGGAGTTCGAGTCACAATGGGTGCAAGGTTCTTCTCCTCTCCACGTCGTCCAGACCGGTTTTGAGGCCCATCCAGGATCCAATAAAATGGTTACGAGGGGAGGGTAAAGCGGCTGGAACGTGAAGTTGACCGCTCACCTCCAACTAATGCCGAGTTCAAGAATACATGGATCTATACATCCACTCCCCCATACGTCTTCATGGCGTAGTACTTAATTAGTTAAGTACAGGGACAAATTTTAGGGGTCTTAATATATGTTAATACTGTATATTGATTTAAAGTTGAGCTGATAGTGTTTTATATTGCTTCATAATACGAGCTCAACATGTAACAAGGCAATTATTATTCAATTATTTTTAAATAGTTTTGGGCACAGTTTGTGCATGAACGTACATGAATTGTTATGGCCAATTACGTTAGGATTCGATTAAATTGCAGAATACGAGAATATTTTCACATTCAAAGCATATAACTTAATTTTCTGCATCATAACACTTCCATCCACAAATTCCCTTATCACTTAAACACTTTGGGGCATAAGCATGACAACCTCACCGCCATCTGTGAGCCGATTGTCTAGAAAATGTGGAAACCTCAACATCTCACAACCCTATAGGGATAGCTTCACCTTATTTACTACTCCTTAGAATTTATCACTTCTTAAACCCAGACGCAGAATGACGAACCCTATTGAAATTGAGGAATGAATTCAACTGGCTCAGGGTCGAATGGAAGACTCCAGTGAACAGGATAACGGGCTTCCGACGCCACAGAATGAGAGTAATTTCTTGACTAGCAGAGTGACTATTAAGCTTTCAAGAAGGAGGGAAAAAGATAAGTTCAGTTCCTACTGAAGAGAATAACAGAAAGCGAATTAATTGTAAAAACAGATATTTACGTAATAATGGCACACGCCTCACATGACTTCATTACAGGTAAATCGCCTTATCATATATTATGAACTTCACCACTCTTTATAAAGTAAAAAAAAAAACTAATCGATTACAGATAAGCATGACAAATACAATCCATTTTATCACAGTATATTTCTTCAATTTCATTTTAACTTTACTCATATCTGTATCCAGAAATCCTAAGTGATCTCCTTTCAACTGCGACAGGCTATACTAGCACACCTCATAACAGTTTCGGAAGGAATAACATTAAACATCCCCCAAAGCCGATATAATGCCGGTCACGGTAGCCGAGCGGTCTAAGGCATGTACTGTCCTCGCTCGCTTGGAAACCGGGATCGTGGGTTCGAATCCCACTCAGGGCATGGATGTTTGTGTGCGTTTTTCTGTGTTTATGTACAGGTAGAGGCCTTGCGACGAGCTGATCACCCGCCCAAGGAGTCCTACCGAATGTGTAAGATCTAGAAAAACCGAAGTGAACGGAGAAGTTCATGGAGGTAGGCCTAGGCCCACTGGGGCTGTAGTGCCAAGGAAAAAAAAAGCCGATATAATAACCAAACAAGATTATAACCATACTTTACAGAACACAATAAAATATGCTTCCTACTGATCACATAAAGGAATTATACTAGTAACGGCAAGAGCTTCGATTAATCACACTTCTTCCTTGATGTATGAGCTTCTTGCAGATTTCTCTCGCCACCAAATAATTTTCTCAGCAGTAACCTCATCATCAAGAACACTATCAGCACAACCGATCCCACGGCTAGCGCCAACACAGCGATGACATCTAGCAGGAAGTACTGGTACCAGGTGAGGTCGAGTGCAGCGGAGCGCATGTGAGGAGCTCCCTTGTGTCTGATCACGTACTCCGTCCAGAACACGGCCTGCTCCAGCGGTGTGAGTGGCTGGTCCCGGAAGATTCGGGACAGACGCTGGGCATTCTCACGGTACCTGTAAAACAGAAAAAATATATTTGTTCGCATTTAACAAACATCGAAAAAAGGATAAGTGAAAATAACGTGGCTGTAATCTGTATGATCTTTGAGCTTAATAGCAGCTAATAGAACGTTATTGTGTCTGATTGCAGAATTTCCTACAGTAAACGGAATCACAGCTGAGTATTATCTTGTATATAGTATCGCAGAAAACGAAAATTGGTCTTAGTTTAAATTGGTACTTAGACGGGGAGCTACAGGTCTTCGCCATAAGAGCATTCAAAAGGTGTACTCCATTATGACACACACATAAATATATCTCCTTTAACTTTAACAAGCTCGCTGAAATATGAAATACAAGTCAGTAATATTCTCCTATATCATATTGTGACGTGGATGGGGCAACGAGAAGTAGGGGTCACGTGAACAATGCGGTCTTGCGAGTGACGTCACATACCCCAACCCCTCCAATTATTACACAAAGCTGAGTAAACACTCCGTCGCCTCCCGCGATGACGTCACAGCACTTCCCACAGTGACGTAACAGGCGACACCGCGGTTACTACACAGCAATAAACAACTCTCGGCAGCGTTCCCTAGCAACGCCTGTAAACACGACGTTACGCAACAGTGGTAGCTATCGCGTAACTGTTTTCTGTGTTGTCAGTGCGGAAGCTACTAGAGTAGTGAGTAGTGAGTAGTGGGTATTGAGCCAGTTACTAGAGAGAGAGAGTAACCAGCCAGTTGCAGTCTAGCCTTCGCCGGAGTGAATGGAGAAATAATTGTGATACTGCAGATGGCAGTACTTGTGAAACTGTGAATTGTGTAGCTGTAAGAGCAAGTGGAATAAATTCGCTAGATCCAAGACGGCGTCAAGTTATTTGTCACGCGTTATACACCCAACACGCGACAATATTTTAACCAGATCTCTAGGAAGTTCTATGCTGTAAGTCTATATGGAAAGTTCAATTTATGGCCTTATAAAAATCATACATTATTAGTACCAATTTAGTTGAAAGTCGAAACTGGCCCTCAACATTCGATGGAAGTCGTTTCTATTTAATACATGTAAATCTGTAAAGAGGGCTGTGGGATACACAATGTGGAATTATAGTAAGCTGTGCATAAAAAATACCTTGAATTTTCAAGAACTTCTTTCAGTGCCCATTCCAGTGACTCCGTAGTGACATTTGCGAAGTCGAGCTGAATTCCATAGCCTCTGGCCACTGCTTGGGCCATGTTAAGGTTCTGGTCAGCTAACATTGGAATTCCCACAACGGGAACACCCCAGTGTATTGTTTCTTGTGTGCTCAGTAATCCACCATGCGTTATAAACAACCGAACATTTGGGTGTGCTATATTGAAACGACAAAGACATGTTATAAAGAGAAAAGTAGAAAGCCCGAAACATCAAAAACAGCAAAAGAATTTCAAAGGTAATTTAACCCACTTCATATATGCAAATCACAAATGAAAACAGAATAATGGATGAGTTATTTTTGTGGCATTGAAACTGAAGAAGTGTTTATAATTTAAGTAAACGGCTGAAGCGCTGAAGCACTTTATTTGCCCCGCCAGAATCACGGCTGGGACGACATTACTGACTGAGATTTATCGTTGTTTTCCTCAGTTCCTGAAGTCAATTACTGGGCAGTAGTTTCATTTAGCCCGATTGACTTCTCATCTTTTCCAACGAATTATTCACTACCGTCCAATGATTCGGCTCTCTATAGCGAAGTTACTTACAGAATAATTAAATAAACTACAAATATATAAATCTGTAATGAATCTGGAAAACCGGAAATTTATCTTTAACAAAGGATCGAGGTTTTATGTAATTTTACTCCGATAACGTCTGATAAATTTCATTGATTTTCTCATGTATCTGTCCCCCGTTAATAAAAATGTATATACAAAACTATAACTTTGCCTGTGGTTTTGTATGGGTCAGAAACTTGTTCTCTGACATTAAAGGAGGAATATAGGCTGAGGGTGTTTGAGAGCAGGGTGCTGAGGAGAATATTTGGTCCGAAGAGAGATGAAGTGACATGAGGTTGGAGAAAACTGCATAACGAGGAGCTTCATAACTTGTACTCTTCTCCAAGTATAATTCGAATGATCAAGTCAAGGAGGATTAGGTGAGCAGGGCATGTAGCACGAATGGGGGAGACGAGGAATTCGTATAGGGTATCGGTGGGAAAGCCAGAAGGAAAGAGACCACTGGGAAGACCAAGACGTAGGTGGGTGGACAATGTTTGAATGGATCTTAGAGAGATAGGATGGGATGGTATGGATTTGATTGATTTGACTCAGGATAGGGACCAGCGTGAACACGGTAATGAACCTTCGGGTTCCATAAAATGCTGGGAAATTCTTGAGTAGCTGTAGAATTGGCGGCTCATCAAGAAGGGTTCAGCTCCATGAGTGAGTGAATAGTGCCAAGATACATATAAAATTCTTCCGTATATGAAATATGTTACCATTACAGCACTGAAGCTTACCGAGAATATCTGACTGTGGGAACCATTTTCCAATCTTCACATTCTGGGGTTTCCCTGGTAAGTTGTCTGCCTCCCACTTCCAAATTATCCGCTGCTTCAGCTTAGAAAAGGCCTCCACGAAAGCTTGTCTCTTAATTGCTGGCATGTCAGAGCCATGAAGACCTGAACCCATACTAAAGTAAATTACTCCTTCAGGTGCTTCATCAATAAACTTTTGCAGATCCTGAAATTAACAAAACATTTTTAAGTAAGTGTTAAAGGAAATTAAGATCCTTAATTCTATTTCTCCACAGATGTTACATCAGTAATAATTTAATATAAATATAGTTGTTCCTGATACAGATGTCATGTTGGACATTGTCTACACTGCGAAACTTGACATATGTTGCATCAAGATTCAAAATTTAGTTTTACTCCTTCTCCAGATGGTTGACAGCATATTTATGGATTTTTTATTACTTGTTTCTTTTAAATTTTTAAGATGAGTATCGACGGTTCAGATGAAATTCGAGAGCTATCGAATATTATGCTGTTATACACTATGCATCTGCAAGGTATCTTGCAATACACTCAAGTTCTTACTATTTTCTTTACGTTTTCCATGTCGACATGTTTGAATATGAAAACTGCCCGAATTGAGGTTCTCTCTTTCTGGGATAAGGATACATGGTTCTATTCCTCATTTCCCTTATACTTTGTCGCATTTCTCATATTGCTTACTATCTTGATCATAAACCTCGTTACGAATAAATACGCTATTTTGTGCTTATTTATGCTTCTGGGCATATTATCTCCCGCTCGGGCTTGTAATAGGTGAAATTTAAAATAAATTACATGTTTTTATTATATTTCCATCTACATAAATTACCTATGATAAACAGCACTTTAATTACAGCGTCAATGTGTCTCGCATTTAAGGGTCCTTTATGTTTAAGTTTAACTGACTAGCTATCCAACTAAATAACTATGAAGTTAAGTCCTTGTTGACAAGTCACCAGTTGCTTAGTTACTCAAGAATTTCTCAACATTTCATGGAACCCGGAAGTTCACTTACTTGATCACTGTTGCCTTCCACTGGCCCCATCCCAAGACTAATGAAATCAATCAATAGCACCCGATCCTGTTTCTATAAAAGTAACCTCCAATTTATTTTTTTTGTCTTCTTACGTGTCTCTTTCCTTCCGACTTTCCCACCAAATCCTGTGTGCATTCTTCTTCTGCCCCATGCATTCTATATGCCTCGCCCATGTAATCCTCCTTGACTTGAACATCCTAATTTACTTGGAGAAGAGTACAAGTTATGAAGATCCTCATTATGCAGTTTTCTCCAACCTCCTGTCACTTCATCCCTCTTCGGCCCAAATATCCTCAGCACCCTTTTCTCAAACACCCTCAGTCTGTCTCCTTCCCTTAATACCATAACCAATTTTCACACCATTACAACGTTACAAGCAAAATTATAATTTTGTATATTTTAATTCTTACATTTCTGGACAGCAGACGAGAGGACAAAAGTTCTAAACGTTCATTATTTTCTATGTATGATGATTTAAATCATAATTATACTCACTTCCGGTAATTTCTTTGCTGGCTTCAAGTGCATTCCTCCAACTGGCACTATGTTAGGCATCAGAGGATGGGGGTAACCTATACTGAAGTGACCGTTCACAAGTATTAGTGACGTAGAGGAAGCCAGCTCAGATATCGATGGTAAAGGTGCGTAGTCCCTGAAGTATTTCTCCATGATAGCTTGTTGCTTCGGTCGGTGATGTATGCATAATGAGAGTTTCTGGTAAGTGATTCCAAGAGTGTTGAGAATACGCTGCCATAAGCTCATTCGATCACTGAATTCCTGCAAAGGATCTGGCACATAAGAATAAGGGCTGGGGCTTCCCACCAAGTCTCTCATCCACGCGCTGCCACCAAATGAAACAACCTGGACCACCGGTGCCCTGAACTTATGGACGAATCCAAGGAGAGCATCGGTGACGAATAATTCCATAATAATAAGGTCAAATTGCTGGTCATTGGAGTGTAACAGCTTCTGAACTTCCTTCTGTTGCAGAAATGAGTTGGAGAAACCATCACCAAAAGTCCACATGACTTTCAATATACCCATATAACTATGTTTCGCCAAATCGAATGAGTTCGAAACATCTGAAACAGACAAGTGTACAGTCTGTTTAGAGAGCATATGTACTCAAATCCCACTATTAATATTTTCTCTACATATTCTGAAACGTCTCCAAGAAGACCGCTTACAATTCCTCCCATAAGTGGTCTTTTAGAGAGACTCAGGGTGTTGAGGAGAACATTTGGACCGAAGAGAGTTGAAGTGACAGGAGGTTCCTTCGAAACGTAATTGAATTTAAACGGACTAAATGGCTTTATGTCCCAGAAGAGGGAAATCTGCATTAAGTACTGATGTAAGAACTTAATATCCTACATATATGCATGAAAATGTTGGGAAAACCACGTGAACAGAAATCATTTACTCACGACAGAATTGCTTTAGGAGGTATAGTATACAATATACATGGCAATGATTTTAGGGATTCATAAAACGCTGAGAAACTATAAGCTTCTCATTAAAGAACTGGAGTGAATGGAGGTTTCGAAGTATAGGATCTTGCCCTATTTGAAGGCGCTTCATCTGGTGAGGCACGAACTGAAATTTTCAAAATATGATAAGCGTAATAACTTATTTCAGCAACCTGTTGGTCTAGCTAAGGATCTAACCTCCAGGGGCAGTACTGAAGGTGTAAAGTCAGATAGATATATAGAAGGCGTTACTTTTAAGTAATTACTGCACTGTATTGCTTTTCCTCGGAGCCGGGATAGCTCAGTCAGTATACCGACTGGCTAGGGGATGGACGACTGAGGGGTCGGAGTTGAGTCCCGGTAGGGTCAAGAATTTCCTATTCTCCAAACCATCCAAGCCGGCTCTATGGTTCACCCAACCTTATATCCAATTAATACCAGGGGCTCTTTCCCCGGGGTGAAGCGGCCGGGACATGAAGCTGACCATTCACCTCCATCTAGTGTCGAGGTCAAGAAAATGCGGATCTATACATCCACTCCCCCATACGCCTTCATGGCGTAATACTTACTTCATTAAGCACAGGGACAACTTTACCTTTATTGCTTTTCTTAGTTTCTACGCTTTGGTTGGTTTCCAATTATTGTTGAATCTTCTTAAAATTAATTAAAAATTATTCCTTTATTAATTGATACTCCGTGTTTCTGACATTCCATGGGTTTTTGAGGTTATGTTCGGCGTCTTCTTATGTCACATCATAACAAGTCTGGACATTGTGGAGAAGCGAAACGTCTCTAACCCCGATTTCAGCCTTGTTACCCTACCGACTAGCCATCACGGGTCTGAGAGGGTTACGGGAATGTCTTTAAATAGGCCAAGACAGTTCACACCTCCGCTTTCCGACTCATCATTCAATTTAGCATTGGAACCTAAATAATTACTGCAGTTCACATAAAGTAACCGAAAGCTCACTAAGAAACGAGTTGACTACTGTAAGCTTACTTGTGTGCCGTAAGAAATCATCACGCCTTGCTCCGGTATCAATATTAGTGTAGTTAGAGATTGGTGATTTCTCTGGGAAAGGGCTATACACAGTCACCTGATGCCCCCTATTGGCCAATTCCTTCAATAAGGCTGAAGGAACAGCGAAGTGGCTGAAAGAGGGAAGAGGAAATAATCCTAAGATCCTTGCTCCTTTCACGCCTTCCACGCCGATGATCACGAGAACACCCACAAACAGGACTCGTGAAACCTGCAGGAAAAATACCAAAAATGTATTAACTGCATAAATTGAAGTAAGGTGCATTTAATAACAGTTAGTACGAAAATCATCTTCCTTACTTCCTCATGGGGCTGAGCCCTTCTGGAGAAGCCACAAATTCTGCAGCTACTGAAGAATTTCACAGCATTTTACGGAACCCGAAGGTTCATTACCATGTTCACAAGAGCCATCCACTGGGTCCGTATCCTCAGCCAGATCAATTCAATCCATCCCATCCTATCTCTCTAAGATCCGTTTTAATATTGTCCACCCACCTATGCCTTGGTCTTCCCAGTGGTACTTTTTCCTTCTGTCTTTCCCACCAATATCCTATATACATATAGGATATGCCTCCACGGCTGTTACAGGGAAACCTATCCCTTGTATGTGGATGTTACTAAAACTTTAAACGAAGTAGAACTTATTCTTACCATTAACTGAGTTGTGTGTACTTACAGACATAATGAAGCAACGTATTCTAAGACAAGAGAGACAGTACTGACTGACTGTTGCACTTCGGGGAAGGAACAGTATGATAATGTCTTGAAAATTATCATCATCTATGAGATAAAAATTACTCCTCGTCATCTTTTTTTCTGTGTAACTATCATCTAAAAATAGAAATGAATGTCAGGTTCTCACTTGCAGAATGATCAATTTACGCTCTCTGATTGGTACGTCACTCATCTAGCTATGTTATATTAATACGAACGTTTTGAGCAATAACAGGGGATGCCATTACATACATTCCTGTTCTTTCAACACATATGTCGAAATTTGTCAAGGGGGGGCACAGAGATTGAAAAAAAAACTCCGCCAGAACAACATTGATCCCACGACCTCAAGAAGCTACAGTAACAGTATGTGAAAATGGTAAAAACATAAAGGTATCCCTGTAACACGCCGTGAAGACCCATAGGACTGTGAGACGTCGAGGATCCCACATTTTCTAGACAATCGGCTCACAGATGGCGGTGAAGTTGTCAGCCTTACGCTCCGGCCGCCCTTTACCCCCAGGAACATTCCTGGTACTCATTTCTGTTAGAGGCTGAGTCGACCCCAGGACCACAGTGCGGCTGGAAGGATTAACTCATTTGAAAAAAAATCAAATAACCTCATCGGTAATCGAACCAGCGACCTTCAGGCTAGTAGCATAGTGCCTCAACCAACTACGCTACCGCTTGCCCCTGGTAGTAGTAGTAGCGGCTACAAGATATACTGACTGTTAAAATTATGTAATCCGTTGCAGACGTTGAGAATAATTGTACATACATCTGAGGGTTGTCCTTGTAGTGAAGCTGCGTACTAAATAGTTCAATTCTTATNCTCGGATTTGGACGAATATTTATGGACGTTCACTCTTTACACTCACAAATAAAATTATTCACACTGGTAAGGCCTTCGAACGTTTCTTCTTCAATGTTACAGCACTCTCGCATCGCTAATCTCGGCGAAGGGTCTTCTGCTCTATTCGGAGCTCAACTGTCCTTAGCTCTCGTCGGATACGAACTGTTATACCCTGCACTCGGCCTGAATAGGGAACACCTTGTCGAAGGGTTTCGTTTCGCCCTCTGCTATGCAACGAACCTCTTGTTGCCGCGGGAATACATTTCGTTACAAATACCGGTGGAAACCCCACTGTTAGTCTTTCATCTTCGGGGCAAAGATTTCCCAGCCTTCGCTGCCTAAGCATTGCTAGCCGTTGACTAGTGATGAACGTCTTATAGTCTGGCTTTCAGGCAGCACGTCACAATAATAATAATAATAATAATAATAATACTGATGATAATAATAATACTTTAATTAATTTAATATAAAATTTGTTTCAAAGACGTCAACGTCCCTACACACATTAGCAGCTGAAGCGCGTCTAACAGAGGGGCAAATTTTACTAACAGAACAGACATTGAACATAGGAAAGTAGAACAGAGACCCGAAGGCCAACAATTTCCAAAGGAGAAGGGCAAAGTACAGAACCACGATACTCGTAAACTTGAGTAAGGAAGAGCGCACTAAGGAGATATCTCCTCTTTTGCAAGGCGTGCAATTTCAGTTGTTCTAAAGCAAAATCGTAACTGTAATCTACTTGAGGCAAAAAGCGTTTAAAACAGAGAGCCGTAAACTTCTGCTTAATGGGTTCGAGTTTTTTCTTTTGCGTCAGTTGACGTAATGGAATACCAAACCACTGAGGCGCGTTCAACCTTGGATGTAAATAATAATAAACTCCGTGGCATGTGGTCCGCAAGCGAACTATACCGACCCAGCGACCGCCGCTTTTCGGCGAAGTCAGTGCTAACTTTAGCGGATAGAGGGTGTCGCGTGGTCAGCGCAACGGATCCCCACGGCCGTTAGTCTCGGTTTTCTATACCGGAGCCGCTATTTCCTTGAAATAGCTCCTTAATTATCCTCACGAAGCTCAGTGGACCCCGTTCCAGACCCACTACTTCTCAGAAAATCTGGTAGCCAAGAATCACACCCGGGACTTCTGATCTGTAGCCAGGAACTCTGACCACTAGACAACAGAGGCGGTCAATAATAATTCAATTCAATTCTTTATTATTTATGTGCCGAGTCAACATCCGCAAGGCCAATTACAGACTTAGCACAGTGTAGATGAAAGTAATTACGTGTAACATTATACAAA